AAGGATAAGTATTTTGGCATCATATCATGGAAATCATCGGTGATGAAAACACGACGCACATATAGTTTGATATTGTCTGTACCCTGAAAATCAATGAAATACATTCTTTTACAATAGTGAAGCCAAGCAAAACAACACTGAAGATAGGATTTTAAAATTAACGATCCAGGATTCAGCTAATAAACAATTTCTATAAATTATGAGATCTCTGTAAACAAAAAGTCTACCTTTCCATAATTCTGAAACATATCAAATGGACTATGTCGAGGAACGTAGAGGAGAGACTTGAAGGTGACTTCTCCCTCAGCTGTAAAATGCACATATGCAAGAGGATTTTCGTGATCCTGAATTAGTAAAGGTTACACTGATGCAGAAATGAATCCATGGTAAGAAAAAACAGCGAATAACGAACTTGAGTGGTGAAGTCGAAAAAGATCAAATTACAGTCAACCATTCAAAGAAATTTGCAAGTCTTGAAACCATGAAAAAAATTTTAATTGTTCGAAAGACTACTATAAATAGAAATGGTGTTATTAAAAAATTCTAGCAAGGAAAAAGTTGCAGGCGTCTATTTCATGAACCTTAGTGATGCTTTTATAAAATTCATTGTATTCCTCCATTTCAACATCATCGTTTTTTCGCATCCATATTGGCTTAATATTGTTGATTTTTTCCCAATCCCACGTTGTCTTTTCAACCTTCTTGGTTTTCGATTCCGTTTTATCCTCCTCAACTTTACCATCAGCATCTTCAGTCTTTTCGTCAGTTACTTTTTCTGTTTCTTCTTCAACGGGTTCTTCAACTGTTTCCGTCTGAAAAAGCTAGTACAGTGCACAACAAACTTTTTTAAGTGTTAAAAGAAAGAGGTAAAACTAAGACAAATCACCTTCGACTGCCACATATAGATGTTAAAATTGATGAACTGACTATACTTTTCCACTAAGTTCCTCAATGTTTCGGCTTCTAGAAAATCATAAGCTTCTTCTTTCAGATGCAATGTAACTTGTGTGCCACGTTTAAGACTTGCACCCCGAGGATCCTTTGCAACTGTAAACCTACAAAGTGAAAGAATTAAATAAAGTTCAATTTCATCTATCAAATAAATTCATGAAGAGATGTAACAAAAAAAGGCCACATGAGAGCAAGTAAAGCTATTCAAAACCCAGCAAAAAATGCAATTTACATGAAAACTTACGAAGAGCTATCAGATTCCCAGATGTATTGATCATCATCATTGTGTTTCGAAGTTACGACAACACGATCTGCAACAAGATAAGAAGAGTAGAAACCGACACCAAACTGTCCGATCATGTCCTGTTGTTGTTCCAAAGATGAGGAAGAATCCATCAGTTTCGACAAGAACTCTGACGTTCCTGATCGTGCAATCGTACCCAAGTTATTAATCAAATCTGTTTTTGTCATTCCAATGCCAGTGTCTGTCACATGTAACATGTGATTTTCTGGATCTGCCTAAAATTCAATAGACAGAAAGCGAATGTTTTGAAAATTTACTCAAATACCCAATTATAAAACACTTAAAATTAGAAGTCATGCCTTAATTCGAATTGAAAGTTCATTTGTAGCCGAAAGGACCGACGGATCCGTCAACGATAATAAACGAATTTTGTCCAGTGCGTCCGAAGCATTTGATATCAACTCACGAAGAAAGATCTCTTTATTTCTAAAAATAAAAAAAATGCTAAGTTTAAATATAATACTAAACGCTACTGCAAATGACAAGTAAAGCGTATCACATAAATCTTAAAGATGCACGTTTAGCTTATCAGCTTAACTGAAGCATCCCAAAATGCAGACAAACTTACAACAGCTGTAGAAAATAAATAATTATATCTTACTTATACAAGGAGTTAATAATCAGTTTCATCATACGATTTACTTCAGCCTGAAAGCTGTGTTTCTCGGCTCGAGCTCTCAATTCTTTCATTTCGGCAACAGAGAGTCCGTCCAATTTAACTGCTTCTTCCTCCCTGAAACAAAATTGTTTTTCTTCATACTACACAAATACTATAACTGAAGATACCTCAAGAATAACATAGCCCACACATAGTACCAGAATTACAGATAATAAGATATAATCAAACCTCTGAATAATTTCATCATCTGTTTTTGAACTCGTCTTGATTTTCCCAATATTTTCCTTCACTGTTTCTTCATCACTTAACTCAACTTCAGCGTTCACCTTTGTATATGGAAAAAGGACTAAAAAAAATCAAGGATGCAAATTCTTAACTTAATCGACTTTTCAAGATTTTATTTTTTTGCGCACAAAGCGCAGTGAATTTATAAAGACAGGTTCATGTAGTGGATGAACAATATAACATGACGAAACATCCACAGGAATCGGACTAACGAAGTTTGATCAGATGACCGATTAATATAAACAACTGAATGAGAATATTAGCATTTGGCTGTTTAGCTCTGAGAAATACATTGCAATGACTATCTGATCAGCAGTGATATTCGAGCAAGAGATCGAACTGTCCCTTAATTTATTACAGTGGTAAAATGAAAACATAATTAAACTTAATGATTCTAATGATACAAATATGAAAAAAGAGTTAAAATAAAAATATATGAAGAACATACCGAACGCAAAAAGAGCAGTGGTGAAGATAATGAGGCTTGTTGTATAATTACTATCCATAGAGGTAAATAAGTTTACAATGATTCGTCTTGTTTGAAAGAAGGAGGTAAGAAGAGAACAAAACGAGAGATACCCTAAAAAAGGACATTCATTGCATCTCTCTCCTTTTCCCATATCCATATTCAATGTAAAAGCGTCACATTCTGGTAGTATTTGTGAAATACAGAAATGCCTCAAACAAATTCACAAAAAACCGAAAGAAATCAAGGAAAAGTTCTACATAACAGTTTTTTCAAACTGATATGCATGCATAGACACGTACATACGCAGATACTACACGAACTAATGCCATCATCCAAACCACTTTGTACAGTAACATCACTTCATCGCCTAATACTAAATGCCACCCAACCAACCAATCATTTCGCCGCACCCATCTCTTCAATTTTCTGTGATTAAGCACAATTTGATTGGCTAGCCGATTGCAAGGACGTGTATATCCCGTATTTCACAGAGACATTATGAAAATTTCACGAGCTGCCTCTTTATGACACGACATTACAAGGTACGCGTGCGCCATTAGCGTCGTGTTCATCAGGTATGAATTTTTTTTGTTTGATGTTCTTTTGATTTTATTTCGGTAGAACTTGGATGAAATAAATTTCTGTCCGGATGTTCGTTAGGTCAAGTGTGGTAACACCTTTCTGCCTTAGATAACACCAGCAATATTCTTTGAAAAACATTCATCAAAGAGTGTTTAACACTTGGCACATCACACTGCTCGACTTCCACAGTTTTTTGTTTGATTCCGTGTTATTACCCTGTATCCAGTTCATGGAATACCTTTGGCTGTTGACCATTTACAAACTTTCATAAACACCTTATAAAAAGTTATCGCTTCTGCATTCCAAGGATTCTGTGACTGTGATGTAGACATGCTCTTGCGCTAAACATGTGCTGGTTATTCGGGGGTAGCTTATTTCAGCGGCTCAGGTTTTTTTCTCTAAGTTTTTTGGATTTTATCCTACAATACTGTTTCCTTAGATGCACTAAGTTGAAGCATGCGTCGAAAAACAGATGAGAGTTAGAAGTTAGTTGAAAGATGCTAATGGTGAGATTGTGAATGAAAAGAGGTACTTAGCAACCAAAAGTAAAAGTAGCCATCGATCTGTGGGTTTGTTTACTAATGCTAGCAGCAGTTAAAGCGATGTCAAAGCAGATATAGATCGAAGTAAGCTTACATCCTCCCCAAATTACACAAAAAACAAACTTTTGTTGGGAGAACTGTCGTACTACTGTCGATGAGCGGAATTTATGAAGTGAATTAAAGCGATACTCACAGTAAATAAGTTGCTGTGCCAGGATACTGCTAAGCACATTAAAGTCCATCGACACTGAGTTCCGTTTCGTTCTGAAAACACTTTTCGATGATGTTTATCCTGTACAAAATGGTACATAATATGCAGTGCTATAGATTTGGATTTTGAAATATGAACAGAAACGAAGTGACGATGTGTTAAGAAAAGCTAGAGTTGAAACTGGTGTTTCAATCGCAGTTCTCACTTGCATCACATTTCTGAATCATATTTTGTTTTAGAATCACTACAGTCTTTCCTTTCATTCTTCGAACTTTGATTGTTCTGGTCCACTTGTTTAAATTTAAGAAAAAATGAATTACATAATGGACATTTCGAAAAATTTCTTTGTATCAGCAGGAGGGATAGAAGAGCTGCTAGCAGTATTGATTGTTATGGTATGGTATTTCTAGGTAGAAATTGAATGGTTTAGTTTAGATTATTTCTGGCATGTTTTCCGATAAAATCTATTATAAATATGATGGTAAACTGAAGGAACTAAGGGCTATGTAATTCAAATTAATGTCACAAATCTCAAACCTCTTTGAATCCAGGGAAATTGCTGCCCTTACATTAACTGTCGCTTATCCGTGATGGACGTTACAATTTTTTTTTGAAATACAAGCAAACGAATTGTAGATGCAACTTATAATATAGCCGATTTTAAGCAAGATTTTGTTCAATTGGTGCTTGAGTCATTCTTCTATTTTCTAATTTCACGAGCTCGCGGAAAGAATAACAGTTATCGTCGATTAGCGAATTAAGTAGTGATTGATTCATCTCTGTGTTGGGATGCGTTAAGTCAGTGGCGATTTGTGACGCATTTCTGATCCACATTATTCCATTTTAACGTTCTGAATTACCTTAAGTTTGTAGAAAATGAATTATATGCGAAAAATTCTCACGTTGTTAGTAGATCTAAGATTTTTGGCTTATAAGATGGGACTTTCTAGCAAGCTTGTCAATTTTCTATCAGAAGTGATCTGTTGAATAGATTATCGTGTTACTGATGATGTACTTTTCAGTTAGGAAAGTGCAGGATGACGGAAGCAACATCACCATCTGAGGAAAACATAATTTCCAGTATTGCCAATGCGACGATTACTTTCACAGCGAAAGAACAGGTTAAAAGCTAAATCTTTCAGTTGAAATTACTTCATCTAAAGTAAGTAGTTACTTCAGCTATCATGAGGAAAGATAAATTAAAATAGCTCTTGATTATTGGAACTTATAAATATGTATCTTCTTTTTGATTAATTATGCTTTATTAACTGGTAGTTTTTGAACATGGTTTTATAATTATTGTGGAGTAAGAAATTTCTTTAGAATCTGATTTGCTATTTCTGTTTGCCATTTCTACAGCAATCTCTAAAAGGAATACCCACATGCTATGTGAATAAAGAACTTTTTGAGAAACCGTAGTAGACAGAAGGTGTAATCAAATTAGTTTAATTCAACTTTGCAAGTTTTATAAAGTTGTGGCTCGTTCGCGTAAGCCTCCCAAGACAATTGAATGCACATAGTAATATAATAAAATGTAAAGTAATATATAGCGCTCCAAAGCAAGTTATATATATCAAATAACAGTCCATATCGTTATTAGAAATTTATATTCCAGATAACAGCTTATGGTTCCATATATGGTATGGCACTGTTCTGTATTGTTATCGGTAGCATTCGTTCCCTGTATTTCGTGCAAAAACACATACGTAAAAAGCGGCTCATAGAAACCTCGATAACAGAGAATGAAGCTAAAAAATTTCCATTAACGGCATCCTGTGTTCTGTTCGGACTCTATATCTTTTTCGGGTATGTGTACTTAGTCGTGCAAGGCATCAAATTTATAAGAAATGGTAGTTGGAAAAGCTGTGGACGATAATTTAAATAAAAGAATATATGTAAGCTTACTATTTCATTCAGCTCCTACCAGAGGATCAGAAGATGGTTAGAATTCAGAGAGTGTTACTCTGAAAATCAGACATTGCGTAATCCAAGCTGAAAATTTTTAACTGATAGATATATTCCTATATTTTTGTCAGTTTTATAATGGTGATATATCTCATGAGATTGCGATCGGGCTGTTGAAGTTACGAGTTAGCCAAACTGTAGTGAAGCTAGACTTTAAAATTTTCAATAATAATTAGAAAGAACCTTATACCGTTGTTCAAGCAAACTTAAATTTAATTTGACACTTTAAGATGCAATACTGAATGCGGGCGGAGAATCTATTCAGTAGTAAGCAGTTATTTGCCGCAAAGATTGTCGTCGCATCTTGAAGTATTTTCATCACGTTTTGAAGTATCTGTGCTGACCAATGCTATGGATGTCTCGATAGCTGTGGAAGAAGATTCTTCAAAGACGTTGTTGCAGAAGACGTTAAATTTCTTGCCTCTCATGAACCAAGTCAATATAATGTATTTATTACTGATATTGCTGTGTTGGGAAGGTAACATCAAATTTTAAAATCTACTTAAACTGTAGAGGAAGAGGTCTAAAATGCGACTGTGGATTTTCAGATTGTTAAATTCTGGATGTTGAATTTAAATGCTTTTTAACTTAACATGTTTGGACTGAAATTTTATTACTGTTCAGGATGTGTTGCTCTCGCTGCGATTTTAAAACCAGTCTTCTCGTATGTTCTTCGTAAGCTTCCCATTGGAAATCATCAGCCAAAGATGAATTATCCATATTTTTGGTCATTGAAAAAGGGCAAATTAGAGATGGGAGAAGGTGACATCGAAGGAGCAGCTAATGACGATTTTGTAAGCAACATGTTTTTATTCCGAATAAGAAACTTGTGGGAATTTTATGCTCGCAATGAAAAGCCTTAAAAATCAAACAGCAATTAAGGCTTCACGAAGATGGGAAAGAACATGTTAACAGAAAATATTTATTAATTACCGTGTCATGTTGCATCTCTACTTCTTATTCGTCCTGAGTTTCAGGAATATATACTCAAAGTTGAATGGGATACTCATGACATTATTGCCATAATGTGCTGCTTGTGTGTGGGTGTATCACATCTTTACAAAAGACACTGGATAACAAATAACATACTTGGTGTTGCTTTCTCGATTTACGGTATTGAAAGCATACATTTATGTAGTTTTAAGGTTGCTTTCCTGTTGTTCACATATACTCCATGTAACCGGCTTTGTGGCAGTGACTTTTTTCCTTCACCTTATATTTTTAGCCGTACATTTTCGTTCTTATATTTAAGTAAGATTCAAATATGTCTAGGCAGGAACGATGTTATTGGCTGGACTTTTTATTTATGACATTTTCTGGGTGTTCGCCACCGACGTAATGACTACAGTTGCTAAGAGTATCGATGCTCCATTACTGCTTCAATTTCCACAAGATATCTATCGTCATGGATTGAATAATGCTAGCAAACATGCAATGCTTGGTGAGCATTTAGCAAAATTAAGTCTGTGATTTAGAGATTCATTATGACCAATACTACCTGTTTTATTCAATTCATAATTGTGCATTTTATCTATTCTTCATTGTGTTAGACCCCTTCAAAAGTGGAAACTGGTTGGTTTGGAATTCTTCCTTTATGCAAGCAAAATCGATGAGTGGGTGCTTTTTTTTCGTAATAACTTTCCTTGAAATTATATTAGAACATCAAGGTTAATTTTTTGTCCTGATAACAATAATTCAGGTTTGGGCGATATCGTAATACCAGGAATATTTATTGCTTTACTTCGGCGATTTGATCACTACATTGGTTCAGGAGGTAATTACGAGAAGCCACGTCACTATTTCCTCATAACTACAGTGGCATACTGCTTTGGTTTGATGATTACAATGGGTGTGATGCATTTTTACAAGGTGAAATAATTAGATTTCCAAGTTTTTCTACTCGACATGGTCAAATATTTTTCCAAGAGTAAACTTTATTTCAAATTCATATGAAGGAATTATATTTACAACTCTCAAATTTGTAAACATTTCTGTATCTTTTTTCCACTTACAATTTTGTTTTTTGTTTTGTTAAGGGGTTCCCTTTCTGAGTTCTCGATCTATCATTTAGGTGCAGAAGCTTTACATTAATCAAAAATCCACACTGTTGCTTAAATATTTTAATGATTTGTAACAGTCCTGCGGACTTACAAAATGTAGTCTTAGTGAAATTGACATTTCAGGCAGCACAGCCAGCACTGCTCTATTTAGTTCCAGCATGTGTATTAGTTCCTCTCTCGGTAGCTGGCATTCGTGGTGAAGCATATGATATGCTTAATTACTGTGAGGAGCATTTAATCGAGAAGAAAAATCGGCCGAAAAAATCGAAAGATGAGAAGAAAAGTAATTGATACTTTAAACGGTGTTCAGCTATTTATTATCCTTCTAAGCATCAGATTCTTTTTTAATGATATTGATGCTTTAATCATTCCAACAAGAATTGCCTTCTACTTTATTTTCCTGCAGTAATTGATTTTCATCAGACGTAATATCGTCAAAACTATCAGTTTTTATTTTGTACGCCTTTTAAAGGATTATTTAATTCCATATATGAGGTTGGCTCCAAATCGTGTAACCTATACAGAACGTGTTTTCCTAAGACAAAGTAGATAGTATTACTGAATATAGTTAATGCGTTACATTTGGCAAAAATTTTGTGCAATTTCTTTTTTGGACAAATTCTCTATTTCAGTTGTGATAATTCTTCATTCATATTAAGCTTGTAGTTTCTATGGCTTTTTAAATGGTTATTCAGGTTTTCTTCCATCCATATTCTAGCAACCCATTCCATACCATTTGTGTAGATTTCGAATGTTTGGAATAATTCTTGTTTTGCTTGTGATACGGACAGCTAATTTATGCAACTGTAATTTCTTAGACATTCTTTTCAATCCAATTTCTATTATCTTGCTTGAGTTTTCGTCTTCGAAGAAGATGTCATTTTTCTCTGCGACTAGTAAGGTCATCTAGGTGGACGTGATTTCTTCGATCTCCAAGCACTTGGTTGCGTCCTATTCGTCTAGATAACACACAAGTGATGTTTTGACTGTTACAGTGTGTGTTCATTTTCTGTGGAGAAAGGAATGAAACATTACATCAGACTCTTAAGCGAACAAACGCGAGGAACTCATATTTTTTATGCAAGCTATATGAACATAGTTTCAGCTCATTTATAAATCAAGTGAAATTCATTATAAAAGTAATCATGATAAGGAGCAGAACATCATTAAAAGTTTGACTTGATAATAACTATTAATAATAGGACTATACAGAACAAGGCCTTTGTCATACTTCAAGCTTACAGTTTCGGATGCAAGATCTGGAAAATACAATTGAAGGTGTAAATGCAGCTTGTCACGATACCATCAATTTGTGATACGGCCCCGTCTGTGATGAGGCAAAGGCCGGTGAGAGAGCGGGGTGGGGAGGAAAGGGAAGGATAATGGTGATCGAGGCAGTGGTAGTGCCTGTCTGTTAATGTGCGTTGATTATAGTAATGGTCTGTGCAAAGGTACACAGACGCCCACACACACACACACACACACACACACACACACACACACACACACACGCAGACAGACACACACACACACACACATACGCATCTGTTTATCCATTGAGTATTATCATGAGGGAAATAGGATGTCACCATGCTCCCTGCAGGATGTCCTCTTCCTTCCCGCCTTCCTCCTTTCATATCATAGGATCACAATAAGTAACCTTTCCCTACCTGATATACATAAATGTATATATCTGTATATTACATACATGCAATCACCTAAAATTAGTCATTGATAACGAGGTATGACAAAATAGATAGGCAGGAAAATGCCATTGTGACTGCGAAAGGTTTGTGTGAGTTAGCATTATCAGTTAGTTGGTTATAGGGGAAACTCTAGCCTCTTTGAAGAAATGGGTACAAGAATCAGTAGGAGGAAGCGCAAAGGAAACAAGGATAAGTGAGTCAGTTGTAGGATTGATATCGATAATGGGATGACGAGAGTACAAGGCCATTTCGCAATAAATACGAACTGGAAAGACGCTTTCCGAGGGTGAACAAATGCGAGAAGAGAATGGACCATCAAGATGACAATGAAATGCTGGGGGTGACACAGGCCTCTGCCTCATCCATTTTCCCCATCCCACAAAACCACTATCGGTTAACATCCTCCCTCCACCAATCTGCCCAGTGTTAAAATGAGTATCAACCAACCATCAATCCTCCCTTTTCTCTCTCCAAACATATTTCAGACACAATCATAATCAGTCCAGCAATGCCTCTTCACAGCGAGTGAAAAATGAATCCCAACACACGATGTATCAAACCATTATCTTCTCAGTTCAACTATGATATACAATAATCATCAGCTGACCTAGTTCTAATCCTCACATATGAAAATTGCGTTCCACCCATTCCTGACAACGAGCTCCATTGATCCAAAAAGTAGGACCAGCAGGAGTGTGATCCCAACTCGGTTAAATCCACTTTGCCACTACCTAACTGAGGATCGAACTTCGAATTACAGCAAGTTATACCGACGCAGGAAATCCATTTACCGACTGGCAAACAAGATAAGAAACCATCCTTACTTAAAAGTTCCAAAACTTTGTTATTGTACCTTAGAAGTTCCGAAACTTTCAGGTCATCAGTCCACCATTTCAATAGTTGAATCAAATGCAGTTCCAGACGGTGTAAAGACTCTACTTTCTCTTATCGGGAACGTTTGAATGACATTTCTTAAAAAGTTATAAAAAAACTTTTGCTCGCACCATTATAGGATATTATGCACGTCCATTACTAGACAAACAAATTATGTGAAAAAGATGATGAAATGACTATGCGAGAAAAAGCAAAAAGGGAATTGCAAAAAAAATCAAATTCTTTTGACACGGGCTTCTACATGAGAATTCAATTGAATTGATAAAATCGATTCAAATTCAAGTTTGAAAATATATGACGAATTTGAGAACAATTATGTGCATAAGAGATGGTTTACACCAGTCAAAGAAAACAAACAAAAATGCTATTGTGGAATGGAAAATACAGATGAAGTGAATAAAAGACACACTGGTAACAGAGAGAAAGAAGGAAAATAAATGAAAAGAGTTGGAAAAAAAATGAAATAAACAGGTAAAGCTCGGTAGTGCAAAACATGCGTACACAACGGTTTGGAAGTAAGAGATTATGCTTATGCATCGGTAGTTCAAAAGAGGAAAAAAATGAATAAAAAAATTAGCTGCTTAAGAGCTAAACAGGGAAAGCTACACATATATTAACGGAACAAAAAGCACAAAATATTAAAGCAGTGTCTTTGAAAATCTTAAGACGGAAAAAATTTAAAAACATGATGAAAACGACTGGAAAAACCCGGCTGCTGGTCGCTATATATAACAAAGTGACTGTTCAAAACTGGAAGACATCTTCAAAACAATGAATATGCTCCAAAACAAATTTTCGAAAGAAAAAAATTCAAATCGGAGCTGCACAGGCTCGACTCCAACCTTAATCAAAAATCAAAGATTTCTCATCCTTTTCTGTCCTACCTAATTTTTGCTGTCAAGACTCGCAACCTGATTTACTTCTTCATCCCATAAAATCCAGCGAAATTAAGGCTGACTTTGGCATTTGATTTAATTTGAGAATCAAACTCGAAAGGTAGTTCAAGAGCAATAATTATAGTCGAGAATTCTTTAAAAAAAGCAGCCAAGGCAACTCCATCTGATTATATACATAAGTGAGTATCAAATACAGCAAAAAAGAACTGCGGCAAAAATAAAAAAAACTGTGCCCATTTGCATAAGCATAAAAAAACTATTGAAATAGTTCCAAATGATGAAGTATTATGCCAGGAAAATCACACTTAGTAAACCAAAGAGAAAAAAGAACAATAAACCAGATTAAAATACGAAATCTACGTACTCATCTGCAAATTAACAAAAAAAGTGTAACATCTGCCGTTTTTCCGTAATTATGCTGAGGAAAAAAAGGACCACTTATCACCTACGGATTTAGATGCACCACAATCAAATCGGTGCCGCTTGATTCTGGGCTTGTAATGCATTCTGTTGTTCAAATAACGGTTGTCCATTGAGATTCCCTTGCAATGTATTATGCTGTTGTTCTAGAAGTGCAAATGTAGCTGCAGCAGAAGGTGAAATGGAAATTAGTGACGAAAGGACCGACTGTGGATTAGCAGATGCAGCATCCTCTTCTTTGACACGGCGTCTGAATCGCTGTTGAATGATATCCTTTCGCATATGTACCGGTCGATTTGTCTGCAAAAACTATGAAAATTCATTCCTTAATCACTAGACACCCATCATCCAAAAGCGTAAAACGTCCTATATAAGTGCCAGTATTTCTAAATATCTCTAAGCATCCAAGCAGATGAATATGATGTAGCATGAGTTTAAGAAAAAATAAAATATGGAGAAAAGACAAAGTTGCTCATCAGATGATTCCAGCAGATGGAGATGTTAACTAGTTACCAATACCTAATGAAAACTTACCCTATGTAAACGGTAATAAAGGCCGCACGCATTGCATACTAATTTACCAGTCTGATCCCTCCTCCAAGCTGTCGTTTTTGTCGTCAAACAATTACTGCATCGCGACATTGATGGAGAATTGTTACTAGTATTACTTGTATCTTCTTCCTCCTGAGAAAAAATTTTTTCTAAACTAATGTAAAATATTAATAGGTACTTTATCACATTACAAATCGAAGTCTACTCTACAGGACTAATATGACAATTTCTTTTATCAAAAACTGCCGAAATAGTAATTTCTCTCAAATTTTTTAAAGATTTTCTCCATAAAAAATTATCACGCATTAACTTGCAACTATCGCAAATTCGCACTCCAGAGAACATCAAGAAAGAACTTACTTCCATGACGAGGTCATTCACACCATCTTCTGTGCTATTTGGTGTAGATGAAGTGGGAGGATGGGCTGTGGCTGGTTGCTGGCACAGCATTGAAAGAATGTTTTGCTGCGTCGCTGCATTCGCTCCCCCACTGGCCATGAAATTTGCGGCCAATGAAAAAGAGTCAAAAAGTGCTGCTGCTGGATACATAAAACCATCAGTCTTAACGGCTCCTTCTATTGGCTTTTGATTTGCAACTGAATCCTGCAGTAAATCGATTTCCAACGTACGGGCAAATCCAAGACATGTATTCTTAAAAAAAGAAAAGAATTGCATCATTATTCAAAATGTTTCATTTACAAAATCGACCACAGAAGTATCCTAAGAGGAAAAAAATCGAATAGTTTACTCAGGAAATCAGGTATTCACTATATATTTTGAATCTTATTCTCAACATATCTAAGCCAACGGCTTAGAAGGGCGTTTGCATCAAATACATTTTCATTGAGATATACCGCTACCAAAATTTTTTTGCATCTTTTATAATTCGAAATATGCCCTCTATTTCAAAATAACGTACTCTGATACCAGCCAGCATATGTATCCGAACTTATAAAGAGCATTCAGTATGAAAGCACCTTTGTTTCAGTGTTAACAAAACATTTTCTATAATAAAGCTGCATACTTACCAGATTCTGAGCAAGCAAATTGTTATTGCTGTTAACCTTCTCTACTCTGTGTACTGCTTCCCTGTTTGGTTTTCGTTTCCTGCTACCGCTCAGTGCATGATTTTGATTATCGGTTGGCGTCATCTCACTAAAAATTGAACGACTGAGCCATTCTTTATGAGTATTACTTTGAATTAAAAATCTAAAACCAACAGGAACACTAACGTTACTACAAAAGTACTGATAAGAAACAAAAAAAAAAAAAGATTTACCTTTCAGCGTTTCCTACTGTTGTATCACTATTTTCCAGCAGTGAAGGTGATGGTGTCTCTTTTTCTTCTGTTCCACATTCCGAGACCTAGAAAAAATCAATATGCAAACATGGCCAACACTTCTCAGTTTCAGTTTTACAATCTAATCAAATTCTAAATCTGAATAAAAAGAAAAAATATATTTTTCAATTGTCGCGCAAATGGCTTATACTTTTCAATGGTGTAAATAAATGTGGAGCTTGACAATATTAAAAATATAGAATAGAACTAGAAACTAATTGTAGAAAACCATTATAAATACGACCAGGTCCATCTTCTGAGTTAATGAATTAACTAGATCGAAAGGAAGCTGTAATTCAATCAAAAAACCAAATTCCCCTAAAAAAATTATTCAAACAAAAAGAAATGCAGAACAAAAACCCACCATTAACAAATTTTGCTACAGTGGCACTAAATTTTAGTAACAAAATCAGGATTCTTGAAGCTGGTCATACCTACCACTTCATCTTTCAGAGTTATCGATCTCTCGGCCGTACTTTTATCATCATCGGCGCTCACCGCTACATCAACTCCATATCCAGGTTGCCTCAGCGCAAATAATGTTTCAACCCGCACACGTAACTGATCCAACTTATCGGATAGTTGTGCAACACAGTCCTAAACTCCAAGACGCAATTTATGAATAATCTTTGGTTATTAACAATTAGTAGTAATTCTTAATTTATCCAACTGCACCAAAAACTAGATGCAATAAAAAAAATTATGGACAGCATTTGTCATAGACGACTGTCTGCAGTCATTTCGTCTTACAAAGACTTCTAAACCAACTACTTGTAAAAATTGAATTATAAATTACCAAAACCAAACCTTTATATCTGCATGAAGTTGCCGACACGATGCACAACCCATATTTGTAGTTAATGGAAGAGGCGAGGAAGCAACCATTGTCATCCTTGCTGCACACACATGCACTCACAGAGAGTTCTGTCTTGAACGTTTCTTCAGCTGAGATCGATGATGGTGCCTTCAACAAAAAAGAATGACGTCATTTGTCGTTATCTTCAAAACAAAATGCTCAAGCAATTATGAATTAGAAAGGCGAAACAAGCAATATCGAAAAAGTCCATAATAGTGATAACGAAGAGAAAGAGAAAGGGGATGATTAACAGGATGACCGAATAATATTTTAACACAAATATAAAATATAATAAACAATACGCATATTATCTGGCTACTGCCACGAAAAAAATTGAATCCATGCGAATATGTTAACAAATAATAGCACCGTTCTAACAGTGATGTTCTACGGGTAAAACAGCTTGAAAACTGAATTTCAGAAAAAGTAATAATACGATGTCGTAATAATTGAACACGATAATATATATGCTTGAATTACATGAAAAAATCAGATATTCACGGGATGGATTTCTGAATTTGGAGTAGTGATGACGAAAAGCAAGAATAAAAATTCGACGAACAATGTAAAGTTTGTAAAGTCGAAGATGAACAGCGCGGTGAGTGTTGAATAGAGAAAGAACGGGAAGATGGAGGAATACTCAATGAGTCACATCAATGAACATCAGCAGTACCCTCTGTAAAACCAGTTCACAACACGGTCACTTGGAGCAAAAGAAGGAGGAGGAGGAAAAGGAGGAGAAGAAGTGGGAACACCGGGGACAGTACGTTGTCACCTAAGTTAGTCGTGGAACGATAAGAACATAAAGTTGTCACTTAGCTTAGCACAATGAATTGCTATTTGCTTAGTTGGGCAGGATACTAGCTGAATCCAGCGCCACCAGCAATGCAACACTACCTGCTACTACAAATATTTTCCGCTGTGTGTCGTACAGGTCAATCATACACATGTCACCAAAAGATAGGCACGCCTCTCGTATGCCGCAGAGGTTATCCCCTCATTGTTATTTATTTGCATATCTCCAATCGTCCAACCCCCTACCTCACGACCTACCCACCCCATCAGCTCATCGTCACTAACTACAAATCATCTACTTCAACATGATTACATCATTAACCTTAACTGATACTTTGTGCACATCAGTTTCTCAACACTGGAAAAAACAACTTTAGAGATAACATCAATATACCAATCTCTGCAAGGCAGATGCGTCTCGACAGGGAAATTGATAAGGAGAGCAATTTGAATGGAGTTCATAATACTATCATAAAATTCGAATCCACGAATTTATATCATTAAAATGTATCATTACATTGCAATCGTATTGAATAACTTCTGCGCATATTTTCTACCCGTCTGTCTTCTGCACACCTCCAATAGACTCTAGTGCATGCAATACGTACTATTCGCATACCACTAAAACTTTGTCATGCGAAATATTCAAAATTTGCTTATAAGCAAGCATTTAGTTAAGCTTACAAAGCAATGTCACGAAAAGAGACATAATTAGCAAGTAACAGTGATAATTTACTCTGAGAGAAAATGTTGAATAAACCATGTGGACATTTAGCAAAACCATTGGAATTAAAAAATTAGTTTAAGCAATCCATAAATATGGAAAACTCTATAGAAGGATTAAGATAGCTCATCCTTTAAATAATGAATCGTTAAGAAGAAAATAATTAGTATTACTTTTGACGTAATGGTATTCATAATTCATTTATAAGGAAAAGATTATTTCCCTGACGACAAAGCCAAAAATTCACACAAAAAATTCATTGTTGTGGAGCGTCAACTTTAAGATTGTTAAGATGATGAGGTTAACTTGAAAGATGTTACACAAAGCAGAAAGCTAACAGAATAAAGTTCGGTATTAAAATGATGTGACACGAAGTGACGGAACGGTTCCAGAGTTTGAAACAAAATTGTTAAAAGTATAAAAAGGTGAAGTGTCAGCATGAATCACGGAAGGAAAAGCAATCCGATTGCTTGCAAGCAAAGTTTCAAATCAATGAAAGAAGAGCTCTGGAAAGATATAGTGGAGCTGTATGAACGCATTACAGGTAGAACGTTAGACACTGATCATTTCGCACCTGCGACTGATTAACTTCAACAACCGCCACTCAACAGCAGCATCAACATAACATAATAGAACACTACAGTAACAGTGCTAATAATAAACTATTTGAAGTACCATCGGAGAATGAATATTTCATTTCATGCAGATTTACTATTTTAATATGGACCATTTGATAAAATGCCAAATGACAACGATCATATCAACAATTGGACTAATGCATTTACTGATTTATGCAACCGTAGTATAGCAATGAGCATGTCACAGCCAGATGTTTCAGCTACTAATCAGGTAGGTTCGGTGACGAGTAGGTTAAAATGTGCTAACAAATCCGTAATGTCCTATTGATCATTTCCATTTTTATTATCACGATTATGCTACAAATTAACTCACTTTGTACTACTTGCGATGACGGTACACTTACTCAAAGAGTGCAACAATTTTTAAATTGCCTCTGGGGAGAAGACTGATAAAAAACAAAAGAGCATATTATATAAGCTTATGTAAAGAATACTTCCAATGATACCTCTTCTAATTAACACAGCGTTAATTAGTTGGATCGTCCAATGCCCAGTAATTTTTCACAACTTTCTTGGAAATCCTATTTAAAAGGACTTGAATTAATACGAACAAACGCGGGAACGACAAGAATAAGAGTGGGAATATGAAGGTCCATTGATACTTACCAAATGGTATCAATATCACAGATTAATACGTCAACTGTTTACGTAGTTGACGTAAGACAGGAAATGAAAGGACAGAGATGAATGATGAGGAAGACATAATAATATCTCATCGTCAGTAGCGAGCAACATAATCTGTCACAAAGAACAACGATCTCGATCAATCACTCTCTACAACACCTCTGTCCCGTTCTCGCCTTCACTTACAGCTACGTCTTCGTCTCGTCCTGTCTCATCTCTTCTATGGATGTCTCGATGACGGAGGTTCGATTGCAGTGTTCCCCTCCCTGTATTGCTTGCTTCGCCTATTATCGAAGTAGAAGTAGTAGCAAGAGGTAAGGTTGATGGCTGGTGGAAGTGGTGTTGCGGGGCGGTGACGACGACAGCAGTAACCCTTTGCCCAGTCAGTCTCTGATAGCACTTATCAACTCACTAACTCAGCAAGACAGACACAGCAGGAGAGCCCAGCAACACTAATCAACAGAGCAGCACTCCTACCTCGAAAGCCCATTGTTAGTTGTAGCAGTCACTCCCCTCTCACCCTCACCGTTGACTGTCCCCTTGTCCCCTTTCCTTTATCCTCGTTGTTGTTAGCGCACCTACCATAACCCCACCTCTCCCCTAAACATAACATTCAAAATTTACTCAGAAATCAGTCAATTATTAGTAAATCACCTACAAGGAACTCATTTCATTTCGGTTTTCTTAACTTCCCTTCCCCTTTCAACGTCCTTACCCCCTTCCCTCTCCCTCTTGTTACCTCCGGCCACTTACCGACCCAAATCACTCCCTTCTTAACAACTAGTGCAAAGAGAAAGACCGAGTAACCGACAAACTAAATCTCACTCTGACCAGATGAAGTGATGGTCCCCCTTCGAACCATCTGTTAACCACTGCTCCAACCTTTCTCCTCATGTCAACATCCTTACCAGCTCCGCGTGGGAGCGGAACTCCTCAGAACCAATGGGAATCACTTCCCGGAAACTTTTGTTTAATATAAATCCCTCAACATTCCCAGCGATCCGCGCTCCCTCCCAGTCTACCCGAAAAATAACAAACATGCAAATAACAGCGTCCTCTAATGCTACCTTACACAACAACATCGATTTTCGCATCATATCAATAATAAAAGTGACAACTGCAAAGTGTCGTGGAGCACAACTCCTTGTCAAGCTTATTAATACAACATTATCGATTTTTTCTGAATTTGATATTAACACACTAAGAGGTACAACGCTTTCCCTACTGTAATCAGATGAGGTAATCTCGGGTAATGAATATACTGATGATGATCTGCATGGATATATCCATACCACTCATTACTCCTGATAACCTAACCCATCTCCCGAAAGCAACGATAACCGGAAAACGGAAGACGAGAGCGAAGAATAAGTCACCTTTAGGATATCCATTGCTAACGAATGTATACAAATGCTGTCTGTGTGTGTGTGTGTGTGTGTATGTGTGTATGGAAGAGTGGATCCGCTGACAACGTATCAGATAATTATTCTTGGTTATGGGTCAATGAAGCACAAACATGAAAAATCGCTATTTAAGAGGCATTGGAATCAGTGATCAAATAAATCTTTTCCTGATGGCTTTTCTCTCTGTTTGAATTGCAAATGAGATAAGACAACTGTCTTTGGATGGAATGAAGGGAATATGAGATGAAAGAGGTGAGGAAGATGAAGCAAAACAAGTTAATGTCCATCATCATAATCGTATTCAACATCTGAAGGGAGACGCAGCGAGAAGATGGACATTGAAATTTCAAATGAACATAGAGAAACCTGAAACCTACGTTAAGCACTTCACCGCGCTTCTCGTCAAAGTAGCCAGAATGTATGTTCCCTATTTCCTGCATGGCATTCTATCTCAATAAGTGAAAGCTACCAAAATTTACAAAACTGCACTAAAATTTAGGAACTCACTTTATTTTACGAATATAAATTTGCAAAAAAGGTAGATTTTAGTGAAGAAAGGCTGCTACAGGAAACTGCATAATGCGTGATTTGGCTGAACGGACGGAGAGGTGAATGAAATGGATGGATGCGGACAGATCATATGGATGGATGGATGGATGGATGGATGGATGCGGACAGATCATGATGGATGGATGGATGGATGGATGGACTGACTACTGAGTCAGTAAGTAGTAACTGATGGAAAAGAGGGATTGGATAAAATTTGTGTGCTGAAATGGTAATCAATGTTTCCTGAGTGATATGCAGCAGGAGTTTGAAATGGGGTACGCAGTCACCACCATCAGAATGCAAACATACAACTGAATGGATGGAAAGGGAGAAAGGAGAGGTGGGGAAAAATGGAGAAGGAGAGAAGATGGGCTGAGGACCCGGAGCAAAGGATTATGTTAATGGCTGTAGAAGAGACAGAGGTCAACCCACCGTAGAGGTCATTTTCTTTAACAAATAAAACACCTGCTGATACGGCAATAGCGATCGCCACATCACGTCACATGCTATTTTCTTCCTTCGGAATTTTCTCCCATTAGTCAACCTTATTTCAGATGATGCTAATTGCTTATGCAGAATTCTTTTTCAAAAAATTTACTGCAAAAAGAATCACAGATTATGCTAAGGAAAGGGTTGAAAACAAACTGGGGGTCAAAATTCAGTCGTTACAAAAAAAAGCTAGTTCCATATTCAAAATTCTGACTTTGAATTACGAGCATCAGGAACATAATAATATCAATCCTTATTTTTATGTTTTCTGTATTGACACTATAAAATTCGACCTGCATTGGAACGATTTTAGAACAGAGTTCCACTAATCTAAACTGAATTACGAGCTCTCATAATGATTAAGCAAATACCTATAGTTGAAAAACCCTAAACGACTTACCAACAACCAATAACCAACAAAACAAAACTTTAAAACAATAGAAAGAAAAACTAAAGTACGATTAAGTTTGAAATGATGTTTTTTTCGCCTCTCTTTTATCCGTCTTTTAACTCCACATTTCCGCTTTCCAGCCAAACAGGAAAAAAAACTAGCCCGGCAGACATGTATATGAAACATCGGAGCACGGTGAATCAATGAACTTCGGAATACTACTTATAGATTATGCAAATCCGATTCAACCGCACTTTGATATATGCCTCATTAATTTAGGAGTTTCTAAACTAGTGCAATTATCATACATGCATGCCATAAATGGATTTATCATTGCACTGATTTGGTGCTCCTGTCTGCAGCAATCGATTTATTCATTAAAAAGTAATGTACGACGGCATCGGTTTCCCGCGGTGTAGCATAATTTCCACTACCATCGTGATTAGCAGAGATAGGAGAATGGATGTTATTAACAGATGTCAAGGGCGATAGTTATCACCAGACGACATTCTAGGAAATTGGTGATACTGACTGATAAGAAATGATCTAACTCACGGTCAAATAAATAAACACAACATGATCGTCGAAATCTATTTATCCTTACCTATGTCACCTCCTAAAATACATTTTTAGCATTTCTGCTACTCTCTTGACCTGTATCATCTACTTTCCATTTCTAAGGATATCTTATAAAATTAAAAGTTAATAATTGCGATGAGATATTCTACCAACAGTCTTACCAAAACAATGTGCTGACACTTCACACAGAAAACCAGAAAGTTTTAAAACAACTTCACTCTGAAATACATCAAACTATCGCGAGAAATACGAAGCTCGAGGTTGAAACGAATTCTTGTAGTTGAGTGCTACTGTACTTCCGATTTACTTTAGTTTTCAACGTTTTTTTAATTAACACTTTGAGAAACTTTCATTCAGAAACTGAACATAGAAAACCCTCCCAAGAACATGAGAGCTGAGAGGTGCGCTTGAAACAAAGTAAGAAAAAAGAAATGACATTTAAGGACAAGACTTACAATTTTCTTTCAGTCTTGTCCTTTCTACACCTCATCGAAGCTCAACCGCCAGTGGGCAGGTCGACTATTTATTAACTTGACATGTAGTTTGGATTTCCTGAAATAAGAACAATGAATGACCAAGCCAACTTTTCAGGTTGTATGTAAAATTATTTACCCTTCCTCCCAAAACATTGCTGAAAGGAATGCATATAAAAAAGAGATTTTGTCACCATGAAGAAAAAACTGATGACAAGAAAATGGCAAGATATACATCCTAACATTTCGCACTGATAAATGTTTAATATACAAACAAGTGATTTATTTTCAAGCTTTCGAATGAAAAAATAAAAATTCAGAATTTCACTTAACAAAACGAATCTCGCAAATCCCTTATGAATAATTCACAAGCTTTTAAAAGTAATTAACTACGAAGTTATAAATATTTAGTCAAACAAATTCACGGCAAAATCACATCATAAATTATTAGTTCCTGATAAAAGATAATTATGTAATGCAGCTAACAATTCATCACACTGCCAACTTTCCTCCTAAAGTATAATTCAAATTTTTAATCCGTAAGAATAGCAATATAAACATAAGTATGTCGACGATCACATCTTTATAAATAAATACGTCACAACTGTTTCCTTTTTCTAAATTATATCAATAACCCGTAGTCACAAGACAACTGTATTTTTAAAACAGTTTGTATTAAGCAAATTTTAGTACAAGCCATCTTTTTAGGCTATCAAAATTTTCTATGCTTATCGAGAAATAATGTTTACAATAGAACAAGATAGCACGAAGATCTTAATCATTCGATATAGACGATATGGAATTAATTCTTCACCTATAGTTCAGCAACCTTTGCGTACAAATAAATTATTGAAACACCCTAGTCAATTTTAACTGTTGAATAAATTTTATGAATAAATTTTGCAGCAGCCCAGTAGCCAATAGTGCCACACATAAGTCCAAGGGCTGCACTAAACAAACCCATATACCCGAAATAGAATACAGTTTGGAAAAGCCCATACATCCTGAAAATTTAATTTGATTCGATTTTTAGAATTATATTAACTAGAAATTAGTAAAACTTTGTGAAGTTCGAATTAAAGCGGAGAATTTAAAAATGACTAACTTTGTCTTGAACAAGAAGTAATAAACTGAGTAAAGATAGACGTAGAAAGATGTAGATGCTCCTGCCAGAAAGCTGGTCCATCTCCTGCAAAAACCGTCACAGTTCATCTGAGAGAAAACTGCAAATTTTTTTTAGATATATAACAAAATCTAAGAGTAAAATAACTGGGACGGAAGTCTACCATCGATAATCTTCGGCATTCAGGAGGAAATAAGTGCACACAACTGTGACACACATTATAACAATTGCAAGAATAAGAGTAACGAGCAGCATGAAGCCATAAACATAGTATATTTTATATGCCCAGAATGACGTAAAGATGAAGTACCTGCAACTTTCAAGACCATTGTATTTTGAAAATTTTTACTATCAGTAAAAATTCCAGAAAAGACGATTCTTCTCTTTTAAGAAGTAAAAATTACATTTCAATAAAGATGGAACCAAACGGCAAAATACCACCAAGAAGAATAATCAATGAAGGTTCCAGAAACCATTTCTTATCCGGAATTGGACGTGGCACAGCATTTACTCGACAAGGATTGTTACTCTGTCCTTTCACATTGCGTCCTGAGCTCAAAAGAAGTTACAGTTTGTTTAGTTAAAGGTTCATAACACATTTTTGGTAGAACTATATGAAATGTGACTAACCGAGTACAGTGCCTACTAAAGTTAATGGAAGAATGACAAATAAGCAAATAGCTGTGACGGCAAGCATAATTGTGAACGGGATGGCTCTTGACGCATGGTATGATATCGCGACAATGTTGACCAAGAATGCCACAGATGATACCAAAGATGGTAAAAGGAATGCACCAAATACCATTTGACGTATCCACCTATAAAAGTTAGTAAATAAAACTTCAGAGTTTATCTAAAATCAGTTTCTCAATTCTATAAAGTTGAAAAATAAAGACTTACTTCTTGCCACCAAACCGAGCGTACATCGACCCACCAGTAAAGCCATTCACTGGAGAAGCTGCAGCATATACAAAAATAGCAGCACTCAACAATGACCCTCTTCTGAATTAAATAAAATGGAATATAAAATCTAATAGAATATGCAATGCTAAGGATTTCGATATCACGCATATCATCATACAAGGTTTGCTTAGAAAAAAACCAACTTACTCCGTATAAAATTCGCCTACAATAGCAAGAATAATAGTGATTATTGCAACTGTAAACACGTGATACCCAGTACCAACCAACGATGAAAAAAGCATTGGAAACGATGGTATTCTAAACACATCTCCATGCACCTGCTTCCAACCATATTCATCACCTAGATCACGCTCCTGAAAAGGTTCCTCTAAAAAAAATTAATCGGATGTTAATATTCTCCAAAGGTTATATGCCTAGATGATAATGATAACGACAAATAATTTAGGATAATTTATGGAAGAAGCACAAAAAAAATAAGTTATAAAAAGCGTAAAATGAAAAACTTTAAACAACATAAAAGCATCATGTTACCATGTCATCAAGATCTTCATCTTTTTGATAACGAGCATAATCTTTCCTCAGTGTTCGCATGAGTATCATCCAGACCAACCCAACCAGAAAGATTACCATCATGAATGAATTGAAAATGGAGAACCAGTGTATCTAGAAATTTAGAACCTAGACCATCAGAAAAACTGAACTGAAATCTTGTTCCTGAAAATGGACCTACTCTGTGTTGGAAGAAAGTTGGATCCAGATATTTCTCGAACCGTTTATCAAATTCAATATTAGAAAATTTCCAAACAACTTCATATGTAAAAGAGATGGACGCACCAGGTGCCAATGCGACGCGCACATCTGAGGTCACATTAATGTCCACAATCTTTAAAAAATATTGGCGAATTATTCGCAAAAAGAACTTCAATACAATAACAATTTAGGTTAATGATCGTAGAATTAGACGAAATCAGAATTCAAGAACCAATGATATACGGAAATCAGAATCTAAAATAACCGTATTAGTGGATACAAACTGTAACTTACTTGATTCCCATTATAACCAATTTCTAGTTTTTTGTGTGTGAAAAGTCGATAATTTGGTGGAGTTGTTAATGAGTCGATTTCACCGACCATACCTAAAATTAATTTTATCTCCAATTACATAAAAGAAAGCAACAATCATATCTATGAAACAATGACAATTCCCAAATTGAGACAACTAAACGAAGTCCGACTACAGAAAACACTTACCATACATAGGCAGTTCATCAAGATACATCTGATACCAATAATTATTTCGCACCGCATAAACGAATTGCTTGTAGTCCTCTTCGCTAAGGGTTTTCTTACAAAATTCCATTTTTTCCACATTTTCTATAACATGCTTTGCTTAGAAACGCAAACAACTCTCATTTGTTAGATTCAATCGAAGATAACCTTTAAATTTGATATCCAATCCCGAGTAATCAAGTTCAACGCCCAAGAGTGCTTCTCCCAATGTTTCATGATAATGACTGATTGAGTGCTTCGACCCTCGGCAGAAAGGCAGTGAAAAATATGCGTAGGTTTCTTGCCGATTATTGTATGGACCAACTGTGTTCATCCATAACACAATCTTAATTTCCAAGGAAATAAGAAAAAGGCAAAACTGAATTTATACATGTTTTTAGTTTTCCTTCAACAAAAATCTCACCCACATTTGAGAAGAGACATCAGCTAGTAAGTGTTTAGGTTTTATAGAACTCTAAAATCACATCCCTCCACCTGAGTCATAATATCAGCTTTAATGCTAGCTTTTTAGTCTTATTAACTTAATATTTAAATGCAAAAAAAGATTTCTCTCAAAAGCTCCATGCCAGTTAGGACAATGCCGTTTGTTAACTAGCGGAGACTCCTTATTGAAGATCCGGAAAAAAGGAAGTACATGGACAGATGTAATACGCAGCTGCAAAATATGGAGATTTTTGTGACTCATCTCATATATATGATGAGTAAATGTTGTGATAATAAAAAAAAAGACTAGGACTGAAGGGATGTTGTTGGCTGACCTCTTCACCATCACGATATAGATGATCATGTTCATCGCCCTCCACAAAAAGATATGCCCATAGCACTAATGTATAGATAACACGCCGCATTACTCGATAAAACCTAGAAAATATCAATTATCTACTAAGCAATATGAAATGTTTGTTTCAAAATTTATAAGCCATCATTTTATTAAAAAAAATAGCCATTTCTATCACAAAAATTTCGTACAAATTAAAGTATATAATTAAACGTGTATAAAATTTAACACATGTTATGTAAATTAAACTCACGAGCACCAGTCGATAACCAGTAATATTCGGTTTCTAACAATCAGTAATATTCGTAATGAATTTAAAACTTCACCGGGTCTGCAAAGAGTAAGAATTACTTTTCAGACCACCAAAAATATTCTTATGCAACCGTGAACTGTATCCGAAAAAGACAAGTTATTCAGATTTCACTTCATGGAATTTTAATACTCCTCCTAGCGGTCAGCTTATTCCTTCTCCAAATCATAATTGTATGTTTTCCAGTTGACGAACAATTTATTTGTAAAAAAAATTGTGTACGTGGAAAATTATCACATAGAGAGATAATGAAAACTATGAATTTTGATTCCTTCAGCATTCTAAACTCAAGATAATGTATGTCTCTGCTCTACTGCTACAGCGCTTAAGATGACTCAAAATCGAATTCCGAAACCGCTATTTTCAAATGACTATTAATTATATAATTGCGATTAGAAACAAACGGTTCTTGTTGTCTGAATGTATCTTAAACTCCGCATCAGACCTTTGGATATCCGGGCCGTCTTAGAAAATCAAAACCCCAGAACATGTACCTCAGAACACCTGAAGGCCATCCTCCCTAATTATCAAAATTCAAATCAGTCTCTTATCAAAAAATGAAAATGTTAGAGAGTAATAATGCAATATAACACCTTTCTTTTCATCTAAAAAAGAAGAACATCTATTTTATGCGTTGGAATCAAAGTGATAGTATAAAAAATTGTAATAAATTTAAAATCAAAAAATATTGCTGCGACTACATTCATTCGCAAAGAACGACTCCCTGGAAAATAAAAAATATCTTACGACCTGCACGTTTGGAAGGAAACTTACCTATAAAGCAGAGAATTAAGTAAGCACAAAATACAATCAGGAAATTACACCACGCATTCTTGTATATTAGAGCTGGAAAAGATGAGAGCGCAGTCCATCCTGCGTTTGCTTTCACATGACTTCTAAGATAGTTAAGAAAGCCAATGAAAACATAATCTTCATAGAGTTATTAAAATCTATCAAGTAGACAAAAATGAAACGGTTTTTATGGTGAGATATGTGGATTTATACATAAAGTCACAACATCACCAGTTTTCAATACCATAAACCGAATAATGTTTTAAAAACAATACTTTATAGAGTACAGAACAGGAAGAAAAACGATTTAAAACGTGAAGCAATGCAACTCTATCCAGAACAATGTGTGAAAAGAGCTGCTTTGATTTCCAATTACTTTCTTATTTTTAAACCATACTGACTATATACATAATTTCATTTCTTTCACCATTTATTTGCAACAATTTCATTTCAATAAACCTTACTGGAATTCACTATAAAATAAAGAAGGCCAGTGATGAAAACAAAACAAATGAAATAAAATTAATGTCCGGCCAGTTGCTTCTTCAACTTTTACTATTGAGCATGTAAATTCATTGCACTTAACGTTAATCATACCTCTGAAAACAACCTTAAACTACAAATCCAGTAAACTAAGCACCAAACCGAATTAACTGACGAATCGTTAAACGAACTTTATACATTTATACTCACTATGCAATTATTCAAACCATAACAATGCAGATAGATTTTTGGGGTATGTTTGTGTAATGGAATTTCATGAGGTATGGTTTGGAAGGGTAAATTGTTTTTCTAAATGAACATAAAATTAGTATGAATGGTATTGAGGAAAAAGATTTATAAGCAATGAAATCTTTAATATCAAAAATATTATTATCGAAATTTAACTTCAAAAACTGTGAGCATAATTTAAGGTTTAGCTTTTTTGTAGGATCTCATGAATGGAGTTTATCGAAGAGGCAATTTTTAAAGCTATAAAATATCGGAAGTTCAACTCTTTGATTACCGAAACTTTCGATCTGGCTTATATCCAGGCAAAAGAGGCATTGAAAAAAGGGAAAACTCCTTTTCCTGTGGTTGTCAAAGATTGCTACATGTATGTTATCTTTTTTTAATATTTACCATATTTCCCATTTGAAATATACACAACAATGTTGACTGGTTTTGTAGTGTCTAAGACAATATGGTTTTACACTTCTAAAAGATAGTTTTTGTAAGAGATTGGTAAGTTCCAGTTAAGGAGCTCTTGGCAAACTGTTTGAAGACTATATGCACACTATCTAAAATTGGTTCTACTCTATGTCATATCAGATGATTTTCTTCCACTTTATAAGTATCAAAATTGTTATTTACACTGAAATTTCAGGACAAGAAAAGTCCGAACAACGTGCGCATCACGGAATCTGTCAAATTTTATTTCACCATATACTGCCACCATTGTCAGTAGATTATTTGAAGAAGGTGATTTATATGTTTTACTGATATTCTGATTGAAACAACTGGAAAAAATTGTTTTTCAGGTGGTTGTTTGATTGGAAAAGCTAATATGGATGAATTTTGTATGGGGACATCAAGTTCAAAAAGTCATTTTGGACCTGTGAAGAATGGATTAAGTGATGAAACAAGCCTTGAAACTGATTGGCGAAGTCCTGGTGGGTCTTCTGGCGGTTGTGGTGTGGCAGTGCAACTGGGCATTTCATCAGTGTTGGTATTTTAAGCATCAGTTTCACTTTTTCTTATTGTATATATGTAACAACGTAGCGTAAGATGTACTGAATTCAGAATATTACAGGAGTTTGGGATCGGACACTGGTGGTTCATCGCGGAACCCAGCGGCATTCACTGGACTTTTTGGCTTCAAACCTTCTTATGGAGTCTTATCAAGATATGGGCTCATTCCTTTGGTTAATTCACTTGATTGTCCATCAATAATTGCTAGGACTGCTAGGGATTGCAACTTCTTATTTCGTAAGAATTTCGCCTTTACAAAAATTTCAACCATTTATTGGATGTTACTTTGACTTTCACAGCCTATAATAAATTATCGTAAATCATCCAGTGTAGTCGTAGTTTGAGATGGCAATGTCTCGTGCGTGGGTTTTTTGGGATAGATTTTTAATGTCACTAGTCAAATTTTCCTCTCTGGTCTGCTGCTGGTTCATATCGTTGTAACTAAAAGATATCAAGGGTTCATAAATTTTACATTTAGAAAGATACAATTTTTTATCATTCTGCAGAGATGATGAGTGGTCGCGATGCATTCGATTCGACCTGCATTGATGCGCCGTCATCCTGTTTTATGCAGGGAAGACCAATTAGAGGAGTAACTGTCGGCATTCCCAAAGTAAGTAATAGAAACTTGGGATCACTGATATCTATACAAAGCTTCACTAAAGATTTGCACAGCTCTCATGAAAATTATATTTAGTGTATCCTTTTACAAGTAAATAATACAATGTCCAATATTGTTTTTCGAACTCCTATATCCGTAGTTAATTTTGCTGTTTCCGGTAGTAGGAATATTACAATGAAACATTATCAAATGAATGCTGGAAAGGGTGGAATGAAGCGGCAAAAGCTCTAGCTGTGTTGGGTTGCAAGATAAAAGAAGTGAGTATGCCATTCACACCTTACTCCATAATTTGCTATCATGTACTTGCCGAAGCGGATATCACATCAAACATGGCAAGGTGAAATTTATGTTTTATAAAATATGTCGAACTGAAGTTTATATTTCGTAGAATTTAAGTTTTGAAAAAGTTTTAGACAAAATTAATATGACGTGCAATTTCTGGATTGTCTCCTTTAAGATATGATGGAGTCAAATACGGCCACAGGTCGGATTGCGACAGCTCAACTTTCATGCTATATTCAGCTACACGAAGTGAATCTCTTAATGAAGTTGTTCGTAGGAGAATATTTGCAGGGAACTATTTCTTAATGAAATGGTATAGCTCTATTATTTACATATTTTAAATTTAATTTTGTGAAAGCAGCTCGGAAAATAAATTGCGGGTACTATATTGGCGGCCGCTAAGTCGTTCAATGCATTGAGCTTTCTAATGTGCAATATATTAGTTATTTCGCGATACGATCGGTACTTCGAAGATATATGACTTTCATATTTTAACATTGTGTAGGCGTTGCCAGTCCCATTCTTCGAGATTTCCACCTAGAGTCTCATGGTAAGTAATTAAACGCAAATTTAAAGCTCTGATTGAGTTGAGTTTTTTTTTTTCATTTCCATAGACTACTTACAGTCATTACGATGAATATTTTGGACAAGCTCTTCGTGTGCGACGCCTGATCAAAATGGATTTCGATCGCGTCTTTCGGAAAGAAGGCTGTGATATTCTTTTAACTCCAGTGACAAGCGATATACCACCGCTGTTTTCCGAAATTAGCGATACTGATGGTTACAAACGAGAACGTGAAGACGATTTTTATACACAACCCTGTAATATGGCGGGTGTTCCAGCAATTACAGTACCATTCACGAGAACGGCGGATGGATTTCCAATTGGTGTGCAGATTATCGCTGATCATTTGAAAGATGGTATGGCATTGGATCTAGCGGAAAAGCTTTACGGATATTCTCACGCTCAAACTGTAAAACAAATATCGCTAAATAGGATTTTATAAACATTTGGCAGTAATTTATAAGATATAAATTTCAGATGAATCGTACGAGTTTGTAAGATTATTAAGGTTATACATGTTTGTATCGTGTAAATAATGAATGAAGAATACGCAGCGTACTTTTTAAATCACCATTTACAATATCCTGTACTCGTGCACGTGGACGTTGCAGATCGGCTTCATACATCAGCTGATACGCGAATGTAACGTTGTGTATTTTCTGCTCGTATGTTAAGGCCTGGAAAAATTAGTGCTCAATTCATATGAAGTCGACCATAAAAAGACAACTTAATCCCAAACTCCAAATAACTCGAGATTTGGTGTTCACATATTGATCGAAACGAGTCAAATCATTCTTATCTTTAAAAATGAACGGTAATGACTAAGAAACTGCACAATAACCCTCTTCCCACCATCAATAATTACTTCAAATAAAAGTGTAAATACCTGCAAATCGAAACTGTAAAGTGGAACGAAGTATCCTTCTAGCAAACCCATCAAGAGCACCAAATAAACACCATCCTTGAACTGATTCTCCAGATCTGTCACTTCCAAATTAATCTTGTTAAGATGTTTATTACAGAAAGCTAACAGCGAACTCTTTACATGAGCCAGTTTGTCTGGTCCATAGTCGAACAAAGTATCGAAAGCATCCCTTTCACCCTGAATATATAAACTGTGTTTGAAGTAAAGAAATAAATAAATATTGCTGGCATTAGGGGTCTGAAACTAAACTAGGCAATAATATTTTCAATTCAATACCACAATGCGCAGACTGACCTTAACACCCAATTCTGATTGCGTTGTCGTAAGCTGCTCGGTGATGTAACGACTCTTTAGTTGATTGTCTTTCTTCTGTATAACAAGAATCTGTGCATTCACATATTCCGGAAATCTAACGGGAGCTCGAAAGTATATGGCAATCGCAACCAAAAGCTGTATAATTGCTACTGTGTCCTGCAATAACACCTAAATATACCTTGGAAACTCCTAAAAAAACACAAAAAACCAGAGGGAAGACAAAATTACCATTACTCGACGATATAAAAAGGATCATAATAGAAACTATGAAAAATACAATAAAAGAACGAGGGGAAATTCCATTCTCTCACCCAGAATTCTGCAGAATCTTAACTTTCTGGCAACTCAAGATAGTCAACTGTTTTACCAATTAACTTAAAACTTTGCGGCTAACTACTAATTGTACCTCATGCAATTAACAATTCATTATGCTTAATTTCATGCTATCAGAATAATATTGGAAGGCGCCCAGTCATTAATTTCATTTTGACATCGGTGGTTTAAAAGAACAGTGTTTTCTTGTTTATTATAAATCTTGTTTTGTTTTTTTTTTTAAAGATGAAAGAAAGAATCAATGAGAAACAACCAGCACTTTATTGTGAATCAGATCAGCATTCCATTTTGCTTTTTCATATTGCCCCTGAGCGATGATCCGATTAACAGTTTCAATCACTTTATGCAGTTTTTGCCGCTGTCCTTCCTCACTTTGAGACACTTCAGGTACTTCAATCTAAACGAATCATATTACTTGAATCAATTAAATTAGTTGCTCAATAACCATAAAAAATAAAACCACGTAAAATTATTTCACAAGCCAATAACCAGCCAAAAAATATTTTAAAAAATCACTTCTACATCAAATCGACAGCAAGAATAGCAAGAAATATGGCGTAGCATAGATTTATAATAAACAAGAAACACAGGCCTTGATATTGGCTAGTTTTTCAGTAAGTTTTTGTATGATTTGACCGTCATATAAATCTTCCTGTATGTGTTTCACAACGATTCTTTGCGGTGCTAATTCATAGTTCAACCAGTGAATCAAAAGCTGTATTATTTCCTGTACACGTGGATCGTCACGAGATTCCATGGTCAGGAGTCTTTTCTCTTCTCCTGAAAGATTTTCAAGTGTGCATATTTTAATTCTACATAAGGTTTTTCTACAGCGGAGTAATTTTTTGTAGAAGTGTGCGAACTACGTAAAGATACCATAATACTACAACAACTATAAACTGCTCCAGCTGATTTCTCGACCATACTTTTATACTTTTAACTCTTATTTGAATGTTATATCAGCAGTTGAGAACATGAAACAGCTTTCATATGAACTATGGCACTTCAAATTATATCACTTTTTACAAAATGCTAACGATGTACTCATAGTTGTTTGAAAAAAGTAAACTTCATAAACTGATTGAAAAGAAAGAAAAGCAACCAACTAGCAATATTTATATGCATTTTGGAATATTTCATTATATATTACCTTCTTCAAGCATAATATTCTGCAGAGTCGCTGAAACTGGGATAACTGCAGAATCAATTGCTTTTGCTCCTTCTGTTTCAACCTAAAACTGAAATTTTTCAACATTCTGCTAATTTACGATAAACAAACTGAAAAAAAGCACAAAGAATACGCAGCATATATGGATAAACTAATACATCGAAAAGTCAAAAAAACTAAGATTTCATCGATTCTTCAAGGCTACCTCTAGATTTGGCAACACAACTGTGTGGAAGACTTTTCATCTCTTCTCATACTTTTTCCCCAAACTACAAATACTATTAAATAATTTACTCCACCCATCAGTTTTCTTCATCTTAATGCATACCTTACAAGCATTCTGTCAACAATCTTCGCGTTCCCGCAGTACAATGAAAAAGTCAAAGATATGTTAAGCTGGTTAAGACTCTCATTAAGCATTTGCTACTTCATTTTCCTATCAAACATTATTATATCAAAAAAGTTTTGCACCTATATAAAAAGTGCTGGAGTTGGAAATCCGTATTATTACATAACGTGACCCTTTATTTTCCAAAATACTTCAAAATCCATTGAAGCTAATCAAACCACTTGGCTTTATCTGCTATATTCCAAATTATGTATATGTATATAAAAAAAGAGGTGCACATTCACTTAGTCGCGATGAGATTTCGAACTCAACTGAGTTCCAAAATTCAGTACTTAATAGATTTTAAATTACAAAAAACAAAAAATAAATTCAACGATGCTTAATTAAGAAAAAAAACTCACTTCAACAGCTTCATTCTCAGCTTCTTGTTCCAATTGTTGTGATTTTTTTTTTCTTCCAAGAGTTCCCAACTTTTCAAAAAACGATTCATCCTAGAATCAAATTTTCATAATCCCAGTCACTCGCTACAGAAAAAACTATAACGTTTAGATATAGAAATTGAAATTTTCTAACCTTCTTCTCTTTTTTAGTGGTGCCCTTCGATGGGAACGTTGGATCAGTGGATAATCGGGACGTCATATCTGAAGCTAACATTTCCAACACTAGTGCGATGTAGGAATTATTACGGTTTGATGTCGTAGCAGCAGTTAGCGCAGGGATGTGAGGTCGATTAAGCCCTATCAACTGGTTGTCAGTTGTCTAACTCTGCCAGTTCGCCAGTGATTATTTCCGTCCCTGATGCAAGCAGTTGCATTAAAAGCGAACAGAGTGATATTAAGAACGGCAGTTTGCATTTTCAAGCTAAAACCTATGAGTTTATTCTCTGCACTAATCGTTTCGCCCCAAACACATCTACAACTTTTGAATTGCAAAAAAAAGGGATAGTTTTAATTTCAAGCCCCTCATTTGAAAGCATTTCAGGTAAAAAACATACACATAAACTTAAGCCAATGGAAATTAAAATCCCAATGCCTTTTAAGAAGATAAAAAATGTAGAAAATGAGAGTGGTGATGAAGACAGATTAGATTTGTCGGAAGTGCTCTCGTCACTTTACTCTTCACAAGATCATTTCACATTTGAGTGCAATATTGTTTGCAAGTATGAGCACCACAGTAAGATTAAACAATTCATCTCAATAATCAGTAGGATTTAATAAGCAAAACAACATTATTGGTAAGAATGAAAAATACAAAAAATTATGTTCAATTAGTAAAACAACTGAGCGATAATGATTTTAAATATTTGAAGATTTTTGAATATTTACACGATGAGACGAATTCAAATTTGAAATTATATCGAAAAATATCGGTGCTTCAAAAAAACAACGATGATGATGATACCCAAAACTGCTAGAAAGAAGGGGTTTTCTTTTTTCTAATCTTTACTTTTTTTATATGCAGTTTTATATACTCTATGTTAGTTTTTATCATGTAACTTCCAAATTGCGCATTTTCTACCAACTTAAGTCATTCAAAACAATTCGATTCAATAAAATGAGCAGCAATAAAGACACATTCATTTCTCTCAGTTTAAAAAACTTTGTATCTTCCTGTTGTTGAAGCATTTCGTGCACCTGTTTGTGCCTGAAAGTAAAGCGATTTCAGGTTTCAATTTATTGAATTGCCAAGGAATTTCTGTATTAATGAGTCGTTTAATAAATAATCATAATTAAAGCTATTACAATTCTCACATCTCAGTTACAGTCAAAACTCTGCCAGGAAAAAATTCAGAAAAATCACCATTTGCCGCACTGTATCCTTCATGATTCTTAAAATTTCTTCACGTGCACGGCGTAACGCAAGCTCTGATCGTGCTTCCAGAAAAAGAAAAAGCTTCCTTTCACCATCTTTTGGCTCCTTATTACCTGGATAATAAGATCCTTTCACGGAAATCCCAACGTCAGCATATTCTTGCACCTGAGCTAAGCTGTCCTAAAATTCTTATCTGAATAATTTTGACAAGCGAAATAACGCCTTCTGCGTGTAATAAAACTACCAAAAGAAACATGAAGATAAAAATTTTTCGGTTAAAAATTATTCAAATGGCTCTTTTCTTCACTTCTTTTCAAATTGGATGATATAAATCACATATTTATACAATCCATTTAAAACTATATCTAAATATAGTAACTTGAATTTCACTTGGAAAAAGAATTACAATAAAGTGTTTTACCCTAGAACATATTTTATAACGAATTTGTTGCGGGAAGTCATTAATCTCAATTTCCTCTTCAAAATATTGCAATTCTGTTTCTGTCTCAACTCCGGGAATTAACTCTGATGGAATATAATTTAAGCGTTCATTCAACTGTTCTGCTTTTTGCTTTGCTATGGATTTTGCCTGAAACAGAAAATGGTATTTAAGTAATGCAAGTTTAAATTTAAGCAATACATAATACTACATCTAATATAAAATTTAAGATTTTCTGCCTCTTCTAATAAATGCATTCGAGATAATATAACTAACCGATAATGCTATCGGTACTGCATCACTACCACGCATAACGGCTTCGGCTGTCAACGAAGCTGCGTCTTTTTCTACTGGTGCTGTGACCCCAAGTTGCTTTGCTTCAGCAATCTTTGCTGCCATTGCTCGCGCCTACAAATGAAAATTTCAGATAAATTTATTCACTAAAAAAACATAATTTCATGACACAAAACTGAAACCTCCAAATTAAAAAAACACGAATTTATCTACTAAAAAAAACATCGTAAAAGTCAGGAAAAAGCGGATACCTTTTCCAACTTGTCACCCGCAACTCCTGAGCTTGAGATTATACCACCAAAAGTATGACCCTCTACAACGCGTCTTTTGCCCTTCATCATACTACTAAGCTGCTGCTCGATCTCATCATCATCATCATCATCTACCGCATTTTCCATCCCATGCATTAAACGCGTAACTTTTCGCCGCGTTGCTTCTTTCTCGTCTTCAGCCTGGAAAAAAAACATTAGGTATATATTGAGCGGACATAGATGTGGAGTGTACGTTATCATGGTAATATAATTGCTCCCAAAATCCATTCAAAAGTGACCTGATCATATTTGTAACCGCTTCCGGAAAATCCACAACCACCGATATGGACAGTTTTCCCTTCTGCTGCCATGTGTGCCTTATAGTCTTCCCACATTTTTTTCAGTTGCTCTGGTGGTTCCTTCCCAGCTGTTTCGAAAGCTCGACATACTTCACCTGCCATGCGTTCCTGCCCTGTTAACTGACGAAATGAATGATCAGATTTCAACACATTTAAAAATTTGGTCAGTAATTTATAGCTGATGAATACCGGTTGATAAGATGAAAGTATAAGCATATCCTTTATTGCCTGCTCTTCCTGTTCTACCAACACGATGCACATAGTCTTCATAATGATTTGGACAATCATAGTTGACCACAAGGATCAATTTCTTGATATCTAATCCTCGTGCAGCCACGGATGTTGCTACCTGTAAAATTATAAGTGCCGTAAAGAGTATCAAATTTTCGAACAGTTTGAACATTTAAGAATCCAATCTTCAGACAGAAAAAAACGATGAGTGAAACACAAATTAATCAATAAAAAAATAAAACTTACCAAAAGTTTAATTTTACCGGCTTTATAGTCAAGTATTGTTGAGTCACGATCGAACTGATCAATGCCACCATGTAATGGAGCGCAATTATAGCCACTGCGCATTAGCTGTGAAACCAGATCATCTGCTTTTTCTTGCTTGTCAACAAACACCAAAACATTTCCATTTTCCCAATAAACACCGAGTAGTTCCAAAAGTTTCAACATTTTCTGATGTTCTTCCAGAATTACAACACTCTGATTCACATCGTCACAAACAACACTTTTGCCTCCTACCTAAATGTATAACGATTTTAAACTATATTAAGACCTGAAGAAAAATGAGTTCGGTTAAACAATTCGTAAATTCTCATATATCTAAAGAAATTAAGCACCATTATTTCAATCGGTTTATCCAAAATTTTTCTTGCAAGTGCTTCCATTTGTCGTGGAAAGGTTGCAGAGAACAGAACCGTCTGTCTATCAGGCCGTATATTATTTACAATTTTCATCACTTGTGGTTCGAATCCCATATCGAACATTCTGTCCGCTTCATCAAGTACGAGGTATGTTACCCGTCGCAAATTTGTCACTTTGCCTCAAAAATTCAATTAAATATTAAGATAAAGGAGTAACTTTACTCATAGAAAACCATATAACAAGACAAACAAAGCATTTAAATTTGCACAATACTAGCCGAATATCGGGGGAAAATAATTCAAACCTTTATTTGCAGCAAGCATATCCGTAAGACGTCCAACAGTACACACAACAACCTCAGCTCCTCGTTTCAAATCCCCTATTTGATCGGATATTCCGACACCACCATAAACACATGCAACACGGATATCTAATTGTTTCGCAAACTTATTCGCTTCCTTCCATGTCTGCATTGCAAGTTCCCTCGTCGGTGACATTATTACGGCTGAAAAATCACTTATAAGTGTACAATTTCCAATGAATTTCAAAATTGCAACACTGATGGCCATTTAAATTGTAAAATACAGCAAATACAGTAGCGGAATTTGGAGTGTTTCTATAAACATACCAATAGGGCCATCCATTTCTTCCAGTTCTGGTTGATCTAATATGTGTCTAAACATAGGTAGCAAGAAGGCAAGTGTTTTACCACTACCAGTTTTAGCAATACCAATAACATCACGACCACTAATTATTGCCGGAATTGCTTGGGATTGGATTGGTGTCGGTTTTTTATATTCTAATCTAAATATCAGACATTAATAAATCTCCATAAATATCGGCTCTTCTATTTTATTTATAGAAAAACTACTTATTTTTATCTATAAAAAACACAAATTATGAAAGCGCTAACTTTTTCAAAGTACTCAAAATTTTCCACTCGACACCACATTGTGCCCATGATCGGACAGGTTTTGGACAATTTTTACCTCTCACACGTATATCCAGTTCTTCTCGGTACTCATCTACTTCTTTCTTCGTTATTTTTGCCAGTTCGGCAGTTTCCACATAGAAATTCTTACGGAAAGGGCGATAATACACCTTTGAAAAGAAAGATTACGGAAAATGTTATGTGCTGCTTAATGCTGATTTTATTTTTATGATCAGTAGTTGTACTGATGATCATAAAAATAAAATCTTAGAAGAATAAACAGGAAAAAACATTTCTGACAATGGAAGGAATGACTGGCAATTTAAAAAATGATTGGTTTTAACATCTTTTTAAATTATAATATTAAAAAAAATCGTAAAATGTAGTTGCCTTAGAATGATCAGTCTGCGGCAGCTGCCTTCCCTTCGCAATTAATGATGAAGCTGCCTTCTCAATATCGAAATCATCAACAACAGGCTGAAACAATAGCAATCGATTAAAGTAGATAAAGAATGAAATATTATTTGATAAATGAACTATCATTCCTCAAAAATAACACTGATGAGTTTATCCCAACATAATAACTAATTCTGCGACAATAGACAAAATACTTCACCTCGATTTCGTCTTCTGCTTCGATGATTTCACCCTTCTTTGGCTCTAAATTTGCATCTGATTTGATAACAACTATACGGGCTTTTCCATCATTACTCTGTAATAAAAATACAGCGAAATAATTTTTGGCTTATATATTTGATTCCAATCGTTGTAAAATGCTTGTTTTACCTGCTCTAGGCCATATTTAGAGGCACGAACTTCTTTATTGACTTCAGACATGAATGCGTCAAGTGGATCAATTTCATCGTCATCCTCTAACTCTTTTCTAAAAACTTATACTTGGATTTACTTTATTATAGAAAGTTACGAAAAATAATGTTTCCTTTTAAAGAATGTATGTATACCAACTGATGTCAAAATGTTTTCAAATAAAAACTTATTACTTTTGCAAGAGTAATTAGTAAAAATTTCATGTACAGCACCAAACCAAAGTAATCGATCAACAACATGTGCAGATTAAGAAAATAAATAAATTAGTGATCCAAACGATAAACAGAAAGCATTACTTTTCAACATCTTGCGGTATACTTTCTTCGTCTTCTTCTTCGTTATCTAATGTCCATTTCTTCTCCTGTTGCTGCCGTTCCTCTATTTTCGAAGTACCTTCATCACTTGTTGTTATCTCTCCTTTTTTCCGTTCTGAGCGCCACTTTTCGATTCTTTCACGACGCTTCTGCATTTCAACTTCTAATTTTCTTTCAGCTTCACTCTGCAATTTCCAATATGAAAAACTCTTGCAATACAAATTCTCAAAAGGTAAATTACGTAGAAAAATACTTTAGACCCTTCTGAATTGCTATTATAAAACCACTGAATCAAAAACCTTATCCGCCATGGCAACGATTTCACCCAAATCCAAATCTTTGTCCTTCTTTTTTTCCTTTTTAACATCCCGATCGGACTGATCCCGAGAACTACTTCGATCTCTTTTTTTTGGCGATATACTGTTATCCTTCGTCTGTTTTTCCCGTGGCGAACGACTTCGATCCTGACGAATTTTTTCGCGTTTTGGAGAACGATGTTTTTTTGAATCAGCTTTATCTCGACTATTGCGAGAGCCGTGTTTTTCATGCGAACCCATCTACTACAAAATAATCACCTCGAGAAGCACACAACTAAAACAAAACTTTAAGCAACTAAACCATTTTGCAAACACACAGAGACGGACGAAGACAAACTTCTCAGTATATAACAACATTTCCTTAAAATATTATAAATTTCATATCAAAGTTATTCTATTTAATTTGCCACTTATTTAGCTTACACCAATGCCAGAAAATTGCATTAACTGATTACAACAAGAAAACAAGGACTAATATCCTAAAAATTCACAGTAAACCCAACAAAACCTTCGAATTTGATATATTTAGTCTTCTTGTCCCGAAGGTCAACCTCAAGCTTAGACGATATATACTTCTCTATGAACTCTGCCTTATCCGTCCATCTTGCAAACCCCGCTTTCCTGCCATTCAAATATTGTTCAACAAACAACCCTACAGAAACCGTGAAATATCTTTTGAAAAACAGAGCACGAAATGATGGCTTGGACGAGATGAAAACTGCTAATGGTTCTGTTTTGATGCTAGAAAGTGGGAGATGGAGGTGTGTTTTAAGCAAGATTTGAAGACGATTTAATTTTACCGGTCATCACGATTCTCTTCCGTTCCTCAATAATGGCAGCGAGGCAGCTGGAGAATCTATCCCATAATTCGATTGGACTTTGTGAGGAATTGAACAGTGCCGTACTGATTGATAACCTTCAACTCATTCTACGACGTATCGCAGATGCATCAAAAAAAGCAGAACAAAGTCCATATTGGCGTGGACAAAAACCGTCGCTGGTAGCTGTTTCGAAAACGAAATCCGCCTCGCTGATTCAGTAAGTACTATTTTCTTCGCCTGGATCGAAGTTTGACTTGACCTAACCACAAAATCATCATCATGCAAACAATCCTGATATAATCTCACTGTATCTCATGGCTCGAAATTTACTGCTTAAAGAAGAAAGCCATTGCACTATTCGGCTTAGCGATCTAACAGTTGGACTGGAATATATAACTTAGATTTTTAATTTTTTATGGATTAGAATTAGGGGTCTATTTTCTAGATGGGACAAAATAGAGGTTAATGATAGGATGAATGTTACGCCGCTAAAGAACTAGGAAATATCAATTGGTCTTTGCTTAACTTTCGAGACTTTCAATTTCTAAACTACAACAGATGTTTCAAGGTGTTGCTACGATGCGGGACAAATGAAATTTGGCGAGAATTATATTCAGGAACTTGTGGATAAAGCGAAAGTATTGAAATCAAAGTGTCCAAATATACAGTGGCATTTTATCGGTACAATTCAATCAAATAAGGTGCTGTTTTTTTTGAAAATTTCCAATTTAAAAAAAATGGAAAAAAGCCAACAGTCAATTCAGGATCACTGGTGTAATGAGGATGCATTGAAGTATGTGATGCACATTAAATCTGAATCCCTTTCATAAATTGTTTCGAAAATTTTCGTAGTTCATTTGTTGTTAATCACTTTTCTTGATATACTTTAATTTGACAGATTGCAAGGTTGGCGGAAATTGATAACTTGAGTTGTGTGGAGACGATTTGCAGCAAGAAACATTCCTCCATATTGGAAAAAGAGATTGCAAAACATAACCGGACACTGAAGGTTCTAATACAAGTTAATACGAGTAAGGAAAAGCAGAAAGGAGGAATAACGCCCGAAATGGTGCGTTGTTTTACTGATTCGTAATTAAAACTTTTCAGTTTAAAATTTGAACGCAGTAATACAAAGTTATAATCGAGTTATGTGGAAGAATATTTTATCCTTTGATGAATTCGAAAACCTCCTAGATGCATTTTGGAACAGATTGGTCTAGTCTCTTATAATTGGATCTCTCTCACTTAAAAAAAATATGCTTACAAGAGTAGAAATGCTTAGGCTTTTAGGCAGTGGAATTGGCTGAGTTTATTCGGGTAAACTGTCCATCACTGGAATTCGGTGGTTTTATGACAATTGGTTCTTTTGCGCATAGTGTGTCGGAAATCTCCAACAGAGATTTCATAGAGCTTTTCGAAGTACGAAAAACGTAAGTTGGTATCAATTTAGTTATTATTTTAAATCTTTTATCTTTGACATTTTGATATTTTCATTTAAAAGAGCCATCCCAGGTTTTGCGAACTCACAAAAGAAAATGAAGAAGATTTTGAACTTTCGATGGGAATGTCAGACGATTTTGAAGCAGCAATAATGTTGGGCAGTACATCGGTACGTGTTGGTAACGCCATATTTGGACCTCGTTTGCTGAAACGATAGCTGTTTCATGATCCATGTGGCTCATTTAATTTCTATTGATCATTATGAGTATTCTGTAATTTCTTTTCCGTAAAAATTTCACAATATTTCTGTGTTAGGTTTGTGTTGATTGATGAATTTAATCCATATTAATGTGATTATCAAATTCTTTCAATGTACTTACTCTTGAAGGTTTCTGTTTTTTTGCGTATATTTTATCAGATGCATTGTTCAGAATGTAATAGTTGTAATCAGATTGTTTTGTTTTAATCAAATTCATATAAGCTGATGAAAAATTTCATTTGTAAATTTTGTTTTAATTTTATGGATATTACCTAAAGGTATTATGATATATTTATTCTCTTAACACTTTCAAACGTCTTCATAATTCGTAGATCAAGGAGGTGTTGTATTCGTAGATCAAGGAGTTAGCTGTTGTATTTAATATCGTTAGTGGTTGTAAGTTCTGTTATTTGATCTTTTAATATGAAGCAGCTTGTTTTATCTTTCCATAACACCACTCGTAGATTTGAAATTTATAGTGGACTGAGCGGTATCACCTAGTAGTAATTGGTGTTTTCATGTATTTTATTTGAGAAAAAGATCCAAAACTTCTTCCAATATAAAAACACGTATGCAGGAATAGAGTTTAATGTTACGATGCAAAATGTTGGGCGGTCATTGATTTTGCAGACAAAGTGTGTAACGATTTTCCATTAACATTCTTTAGAAAATTATAATTGGAAGATGAAAAATGGACGTAAGCGTGAATCACTCATTCAGAAATACATCAAAATATTCGTTGTGATCTCTCTGTACTGGTAAAGTAGTTGATTTGAAAGAAATTTTAAGAACTTTTCACAGTGGTTCAGAATTTTTACAATTTCATGAATTTTGGTTCGAATGAAAACAGTGAAAACATTGTTTGTTTAGGTTTTGTTCAATAGGTCTCGTATTTCTGAACAAGTATTTGCTAAGCAGTGAGTCACTTAAGGTAGGTGCTTCTTCTAATTATGGAAAAAAGAATCCTTTTATAATCTGGAAACAGTATGTTACTTTTTATGTTTGATACTGGTGACAAGGGTTGAATGCATTATGTCAGTACCACTGTACACTCATTTTTAAAATTTGATGTTCTGAACTGTATTAAAATTCTACATTTGCAGCTCAATGCACCGTTGTTTATAACTTGGTATCAGTGTTTTGTGACAGTGATGCTATGCTATGTTTTTTGTTATGTTTCTAAATTGTGTCCGCCATTGTTTACATTTCCATTCATGTCTTTTGATTACCGGATTTCGAGAGAGGTATATATTTTTTAATTCCATGTTGTTTAGGCATTAACTTTTTTATTTCAATTTTCTGGATTGGTATTGTATTATTAATAGTATCTGGATAAGAATTAAAGTCCATTGGAATCTATTCTGCATTTAAATTTCTGGAAATTTGACCTTTTCCTTTATACTTCCACTGTACCTTTCAATACTCCATTTCCAGGTGTTGCCGCTCTCATTTATATTTGTTGCAATGATAGCTACGAATAATCTTTGCTTAAAGTATGTCGGTGTTTCATTTTATTATATTGGAAGGTCACTTACTACTGTTTTCAATGTGGTGAGCGAAATTTGAAATATGAATGATATTGCTCCCAAAATATGTGTTACGAGAAGCAATTACATTTTCGGTGTAAAAAAGTAAGAGTTGCAAGAAAAATAAAATTGCTTGAAATAATTTACTGCAGAACGATGGATTGAATCAGGAATTTAATTTTTTAGTGTAGTAGGATACGTTTTTGGTAGGCTTTTAAATTGTAGTTCAAGACAAGTCTTTAACCAATTTCATATATAATTCAGATATGTTCTTACCTGATTCTGGGACAGTCAACATCACTGAGAACAATTATGTGCTGTGCAATTATTATTGGAGGTTTTTTTCTCGGCGTGGAACAGGAAGATGTTGCGGGTATACTTGCATTTATTTTCAGCTGAAAGGTTTTGGTGATGCATTTTCTCTCTTCAAGAGTACATTTCGACAATTTGCAGTTAGGTGTTTTTTTTTTTGTAAAATTTAGCTTTTCTAGGGACCTTATCTGTTACTGGTGTCATCTATGGTGTAGCAGCGTCAATGTTTGTTGCCCTGAATGCTATTTATACACAGCGAACTCTACCGTCGGTTGGCGATAGTGTTGCTCAGCTCACTTTGTAAGCTAAATAAATCATTATAACAACATCCAGTGAAGATTAATGAATTTTTTTACTATGAATATGGCAAGTATGTGAAAGCTACAACAAGATTTTGAAATTCTTAGAATTCTTTGTTTTTCAGGTACAACAATATAAATTCATTAGTGTTATTCCTACCTGTCATGTTCGTTACTGGTGACATCAGTGAAATGTTTTATTTCCGTGGTTTATCTTCCATACGATTCTGGACTTTGATGACATTATCTGGTATTTTTGGTTTTTTAATGAGCTATGTTACTGGATGGCAAATCCAGGTATATTTTTGCTATCTTTTACACTCGAAGTAGCAATAATTGTTTCAATAATTTCATTATTTAGGTTACATCACCTTTAACACATAATATCAGTGGTACGGCAAAAGCAGCAGCTCAAACCGTTATTGCAGTTGCATGGTGGCAAGAGATAAAACCATTGCTTTGGTGGGTGAGTAATGCAATTGTTCTCGGTGGTTCGGCTGCATACACAATGGTTAAACGAAAAGTTAGTTCTTGATTTCTAGCGACGTTTCTTTCAAGAACTTATTTAGAGATAAAATACGGAACTTTGAATTAAGGACGGATCAATTTTTGTGTCAGTTTAAATTACTAGTCGGTTTTTTTTTTTAATTTATGGTTCGAAATTGAATTTTTGTCGATAAATAGCCGTCCTTCTCGTATGTACCATGCTTTCTAGGAAATGGTTGATAACTATAACACTATTAAATCCAAGTTGAGTGATAGCATCGAACGACAATCTGTACTGCTTGGTTTCACTGACGAGGATGAGACAGTATAATCAAGCATTATGTCGTTTTATACAAGTTTTATTAATAGAATTTTCTATTTGTGCTTTTTGCTATAACCATATGTCAATTTTTTCATTAATCTTTAATCTAATTATTTTCCTGTTGGTTTTAACATGTTTTAGTTTATATTGTGCTTAGATTTTTAGAATTATTTCTTATTTATACTTCCTATTTATATATGTTTAGTTTTGTGTTCTCTAATTATGTTATGATGTAATTTGACAGTTCGTTTTCTAACTCTTATCCACTATATGACACATGCTTTATGCTTGTTATGATGAATTGAAATATATTCAAAATCAAATAATTATTTTTGTTCACGGTTCAGTAATTGATAGACAGTCGACAGATGAAATTTTAAGTGAATTAAGCGTTAGTTTATGGTAAAATGACAATTCGTGGTTTCGTTGTAATAGGTATTGTTGGATATTGGAGACTCAAACTGTTTTGCAAGAGGAATTACTTTTTTAAAGAGTAACTGGGATCTGGTCATTCATTGTTGGTCAGGTTTTCAAGTAAAAGGAAATGCTTCGTGGTTTGCCAATATACTTGAATTTTCTTGACAATTTTTTTTTAATCAAGTGAACGGAAGGTTTCAATAATTTGGGATGCTTCGATCTTGAAAGCCTTTCGAAGTAAGATTTTATAATTAGGGAAGATTATATAGTTGAAAAAGATAATTTCACGATATAAGGCGTTTTGCCTCTGAATGTTTAGATAAATCTTCATACGCTTTCCAAGCATTGATCTTTCAGTGGCGAAGCATTTTTGGTCATAACTATTATAAACTCATGAAATTATTCAGTGTGGATTAAATAATGTTACATAGAAGGAATCTTTATCCTTATTCTCGTTCAAAAAATGTCTCCAGTGAATGTTCTCTTTATGAAAACATAGCGGTATATATTGTTTTAAAATACTTAACAATTTTTTGTATTGCAGGTCCTTGTAACTGAAAATATCACCAATAGGTAATTGAAATGCGCAAAAAATTTAAAATGGTATCCGAATAGAAAATAAGATTAGCTCCCCCAAAGAAACAAACTTATAAATTGCTTATCCTACAAGCGACTTGCAAACCTTATTTACAGACGAGATGATTTGACAAATTTATTGAACAATTTGCAAAATATTTGAGAATTACTGCGCAGGTAGATCTGAAAAAGAGCAACGTGGAAACAAATTTAAGTCTTTCGGGCAATCTGTTGAAAAATTGGATAAAAAAGGCCTGTCTGACAGTTGCGTACCTTATTTGACTCCCTGCAGTCCCATCAATTTTATTTTATTCCTTATCTTTCTACATTTTACTTCCAGTAACATTTTTCATAAATAATGCATTATGTTAAAAAATTAAGCATTGTCGTGTTAGCTTTATTTTCCAAGAGTTGCACTTTAAATTACAGTAACATCTTAATCAAAGCTTTAATTTGGAAAATGCCCAAATTGTTTAATTCTATGCAAAGTATTTTTTAGAAATGCATTACCATTTTGTATCATTTGAATTCAACAACAGAGAAGCAGACATCTGATTATCATTGTATCCAAATCATGAACTTGTCTCAGCACAGGGATCATCGGTCTGATGAAGTCAAAAGCAAATTCAAATTTTAGACTGAAGGAAATTTGCGAACCCAATCAACTCTATCAAGCAACGACCAAAATCCTCTTACACAATTCCATTTAATTTAATACACCATTTTTTAAAATTATTTCGCATGTAAACTGTACTTTTCAATTGCTGCACTGAAAAATCTTTGAGCCAATTAACTATAAGCCATTTCCTAATGAAGATATTAACTGATCGCAACTTCCTTACGCACCTTCAAGATTTTGGACGCTTCCACAGTCTTCCAGATATATGTTTGAAAATGTATATTGAACCATTAGTAGCCGACATTTTAAAGGAATTATGTCTAAATAATCCTTTATGCGTGCTCGATGTAATTTAAAACTATCGCGTTATTTATTTCATGGATAATGAATTAACTCCATATAAGTCTAACAAAAATTCTTCAAAAAATGAATTTAGTGATAGTCGCTCAGATTTATGAATGAAATTTACTGAATGTTTACAGCATTATGCAAGTCCTTGTTCGAAAAATCAAAAAAAACTTATGTATTCCAATAAGAGTGGTTCAAACAGTACAACGACAGTGTCCATTACACGTATCACATAGTCGACTGTTTGTAGCTAGCAACAGATACTTAAACTATTTAAAAAGGATGGAAGAAATTATTGTTATAAGTTATTTTAGCATTAAGTTGTTCTGAATATTGATATGGTAAAGGAAAGCTGTCAACAAATTTATAAACTTCTATAAAATATTGAAAATTTTCTATTAAATTTACTTGTTTGAAATTTGGAACAAAACAAAAACTTCGTAAAAGTTGCAAGAATGAATATCACCAGAAAACTCCAATTAACAAATGTATGGAAATAAAGGCTTTCCCATAATTATAAATTTGAGACCATGTATTCAATCGGAATCAAATTTCAAGTATTGCCCAGTTATCAATATGTTTTTATCGGCTTTACAATAGATTTTTTCGGTGACTTCTCTGAAATTATTTAAATTTAAACATAATCTGAATTCTTCAAATCAACGTTCAAAACATAATTGCAATCTTACCCTTCTACTAGAGCACATCTAATCCAAATCATAACAAAAGTTAGGAACTTATTTGGATTTAATTATGGCTTAAAATCCAAAGTGTTAATCAAATTACTGCTGGGAAATGTGCCAAACTATGATAATAGTACCCGAAATAAGATGAATTAATTTCTGGTAGAAAAAATACCAAAGACTGAAAATGATAAACTGATGCCATTACTCCCAAGATATTTGAAGCAGATACATAAATCTAAGGAATTTTTAATTAGCGTGTTTCCCGATAAATCTATTATTTTTCACAAGTGAAGTCATAATTTTAGTATTCGAGTTTTAATAACAGTAATTTTGTTTTATTAAAAATAACTATGAAGTACACCGGCGATTGGCATTTACATCCGGAGCATTATGTAAGCTGATAGTCCAGGACCTCATTTTGGGCATCCTTCGACGAATTTCGTAAGGTAATTCTAGCAAACGTTTTCTTTCCTAAAATAATAACAAAATGAAAATCCGCAAAATGCAATGATGGAAACTGAATCAAAACTGGGAGCAGTACCACGAAAAAATTACACTCTGATAGGTTTCTAACAAAGCTATAAGTGTTCTTGTTGTCGCAACCGCCGTAGCATTACAAGTATGAGCGAATTTTTCCACATCACTCGAATCACGATATTTAATACCTGAAGCAATACTGTCGGCAAATATTTTGAAAATATTTTTCGAATTTTTAAATAGGTGACAAAATCAGTGCCACGGAACATAAACAGTAATATTTACATTTTGAGGAAATTGTAAGCATTGCGAAAGAATACAAACTTAGTCGTCTTGCTTGATAATCAGTGCAATTTGAAGCACTTGACACTTCACCAAACATCTTTCTTCCTGGCATCCAAGCTTCGATATCGAATTTGCGAGCAGCTGAAGCACCTAATTCTTCCGAGGGCATATCCAGAAGTCTATAAAACTAATGATTTAATCAGTTTATAACTACAGATAAACTAGTATATTATCAACTTGTTAATGCATACCTGCAATGTAATCCTAAGCTTGAAAAAATTGAAGTCTGTATCTTGACCAGTTCATCTAGCTGCAAGTCACTGTCATTCTCATTGCAAATAACAAACATTTCGATCTGAAATTTTATAAAATGAATTCCTAAAATGTCTTGTCATGCATTGCAGGGTAGACAGCTCACAAAATGATTAACCATTTGCACGAAAATCTCCTAAATGAGGTTATATCAAATTTGCTCCTTGAATTTTACAGTCCTTTAGTAAATCGAAATATATCGTATATTTTGAAACTGGAGAGGTTTCAATACACTCAGACAGGTTTTGCAGTTCATCTGTTTTTTCTTCCATACTTTCAGGCTGCTTTTCATATTTTGGGAAGAACCGCAGTATTATGCATCATTTTTTGTTGTTTATGATTTGCTCTTCATCAGTAAATTTTCCTTCAATTTTTTAAAATCCTTTATAATAGTTTCTATATCAAATTATTCTATTAAATTCAGCACTAGTTAGGGAATATTGAAAAATGAAATTTACCAGTCATAACTATGATTGTAGCATGCATATGAAGAAAATAAACGTAATTTGAATCCAAATCTAATTCTTGCAATCCGTCTATTAGTAAAATGCGTTTCATAATACTTTTCCTTATATGAAAAAAGCTTTTAAGGTGTATAAAAGACACAAAAAAAACCTTATTAAATTCATGAACTCTGTATAATCTACTTTCGGCAGCATTTGTTGCAATTTCTGGCCGAAAACACCTGCTTATGGCTTTCAGCTTGAGAGGTAATTCACAGTGTCCAAAAACTCGTCCACTTACCAAACTGCTCAGTCCCATTTCTCCAAATACAAAATTCCATCTGTTTGAATGAAAGAAGATCTCAAGTGTTTTTTAGATTCTGGTGCAATCATCCTTTCTTAGACAATTTAAGTGTACTAAACTTTTATTCAAATAAGTGAATGAAAGTTTAGTATCTCGAAATAATTAAATTAATCAATCAAGTCAACTAAGTTAGATTTTCCTAGGCAACTTAATTCAAAGAAACCTAATTATTTCAGCCGTCCACATTTTTCTAGACTCTAATGTAACCTATCTCAGTAGAAACAATTTAGAAGACTATCAAAATGTTTTTAAACTTTATTTCGACTTGAATCCAAAAAAAATGTAATGTCGCGCAAAATAACAATCACCAACCCGATGTACCCGACAAACAAAAATCCTTGCAATTCCTCAGGCGATACAAGATATCTTTATCCGATCTTTGCTGCAATCCACATCCTTCAGGAATACTCTCATGAACTATGTCCGGTACAACGACTGGCTTGAAACCTTTCTCTTCCACGGCCGATGAAACGTAATCAAGTAATGCAAGCTCCAAATCCGCTAGGGGACCTAAAAGATATTGGGACCACCAGTCATATAATCAAAAGTAAAAAAATTTTCATCTTCATACAATCGTGAGAATTTGAAAAACAAATACCGATAAATGCGTAACTTCGTTCACCACATGCATTTAAGGGATTGTAAAGAGCCTTCCAAGCTTTAGCAATAGTTTCCGCGGTTTCCAAATTATCGTCCTTTCGTTTCTCGCCAAAAAATCGTACAGCATGTGCAGTCGAAAAATCACCTTTCGGGACGCTTGCATGACATAAATTAGGTATAAGCATGGCTTCTTCGTACAACTATAAATTAAATTCTTTGTTTGCTTCGAAACCAAAGTCCATTTGAACTTGGGGAAGCATTTATGAGCAACTTAACATTTTACATGAAAAAACAAATATTTACTTTATCCCATAACGATTGGTACTCCAGCTCGGACTGTTCTAGCCTTCCTGAATAATCTTGAATTTGCTTCCACAACCTATGAACCGCATCGATATCACCAATACCTTTACGACACCGTATATTTTCTTTAATCAGGTTCAGATTCTTATTATTCAACAGAAAATCAAAATCCAGCTCTGGTCGAGAAAGGGCGTTCGATATGGAATTTAGTAGTCTTCTTTTCAGTGACATCTCAAAATAAAAAATTTCACCACTTATGTTGTGTCCTAAAAATATGCAAACTTCATGACTTTTGCATTCTGAGTAAGGTGGATTACAATACTTTTAATTAATTTAATATAGTGCCTCTTGTTTTACAATACTTTAATTAATTTAATTAAAGTTCGTATAGTCACGGACCGAAATTCTTCGATGCCTTTTAATGAAAGCCCTTAAGGACGGTACAAACATTTCACACGAAACACCTAAGGTACACGACCTGAACACCGCTCACAGCTTCTCTTCATGAATACAACGCTGCAACGATATCCTTGGATTTCGGCCAAACTTTCAAAATCTGTGGCAAATTTTAAACGGTTTGTCCGATGGAAGTCAATTCGGAAGCGACGTGAATGGGCGGATGGTTCGCCTAACGGGAGTGGAAATGCGTTACGGCGGTTGCTAGTCAATCCTTTTTAAAACTTACGTAAGAAACTAGACTATACTATCTTGTGCGCCGTAGATAAAGGGTAGTTGTGATGCTCAATTTAACGGTAGGGAAAAACTGAGTTATTCCTTTTGTCCGTTATGTTGAATGTAATTTTCGTTCTCTGAAGCTCTTTTTTTAGGAAGCTATATTCGTGGAAAGGCAAAGCTAAATATTTGCATCTGATTTTGTTTATTTTTCTCTCATATTTAGTTCCACAAAATATGAATGTGTTTGAAAATGTAATTTGCACATGTTTAGCTTGCACTCCTACAGTGTAATTGCATTTATGCAGAAGCGGACCATTATTATTTCATGATTTAATACGTCCGTTTAGATTAAATATTTCATTCATTTATATGAATTGAGGCGACTTACCGCATTACTCTGTGCCTTCTTTGTGCTAATTAATCGTGCTGCGTGTATAGATAGTTAATTGTGATCGTCCCAAAGAATTTGTGTTGACAAGTCATTTGAAAATCAGACTTTATTCATTCTTACGTGCTTAATTTCTTGTTTGTTATTGTCATTACAGTGTATTACACTTGAAGTCTACAACACATAACAAGAAATCTTTAGCAACTGATCATGTCATTTGTGTTTATCACGATTTAAATTGCAGATGTCGGTGCGGTCATCTCATAATTCGGGTATTAGTGGGACTAGCAAATTGTTGTCATCTTATACTATATCGCCATATGCAGCTCTGGAAGGCTTGTATGTTTTACATGATGAACTAGGTTCTGGTGGTTTTGGCAAAGTACGGCTAGCAACACATTTGTTAACTTCACAAAAAGTTGCCATTAAGATCATCGATAAGCGCAAAATCAAGGTTTGAATGTTTAAATTTCATGATTTTCCACAAATTTTTATTAGAATTTTTATTGAAGAGCAGTTAAATGAATACGAATGAAAAAACCCAACTTCTCTGTGTGTAACGGAGCTCATATTTTAGTTATGACTATGACTCTCCCAAAAAACTGACTAAAACATTCGATCGTAGTTTGGGATAGCATGTTTAGTTTTATCCGACCATGACGGGAGCATATTCCAAAGGTTTCAAGGTGCGGAGAGACTGTCACGTTTTCATCGTTTAAAAGTCGAGGAGGCTTTCATCTGTTTAAAATTAAAGCAAATGATTGGTAACGTGAGCCTCTTTGGGGAGTTGCAACAATATTTGTCATGCAATTTGTTACTGCTAGCTAAGAGCACTTATGGTGTGACCTCTATTAATTTTAATGGCAACAATAACAGTAATGAATTGTAAAGAATACAAAAGAAATAAATCGGGCTTAATTTAAGAAGTATGATTTGTTCAATTTTTCGGCCGAAAAAACTAAAATTATTCATTAAGAAGGAGGACTTACCTCGAATAAGAACCGAGTTGGAGGCATTAATGCTATTATCACATCAAAATATATGCAGGCTGTATCAGTGTATTGACACGCCCTTGAAATTTTTTATTGTTATGGAGGTTTGCTATTGTATCTATTATTTGTAGCGTGTAATTTTATAACTTTTATGGTTTTATGCCAAAAGCTGAAGTTAGATTTCCGAAAAATTAATGCTTCTGGATAGTGAATTTTATTTCAGTATTGTAGTGGCGGTGAAATGTTTGATTACATTGTTAAAAAGGAACGATTGGAAGAATCCGAAGCGCGTCACTTTTTCCGACAGCTTGTTCAAGCTGTTGCTTATGTTCACAGCATGGGATTTGCCCATAGAGATTTGAAACCTGTTAGTTTGTTCATCTTTCTCTAGTGTTCAGAAAATGAAATAAACAAATTTCGGGTATTCCATTTTTAGGAAAATCTGCTACTGACTGAGGATTTGCAATTGAAACTAATTGATTTTGGTCTGTGCGCTAAACCACCACTTGGGTTATCCCAGTCTTTGCATACATGTTGTGGCTCACCTGCCTATGCTGCTCCTGAACTTATTCTGGTAACATCGTTTATTCATTACTTTTTCAAGTGTTAAATTTATTTCATAGTAACCTTTTACTCTTAATCCTAAATTATAATATAATATCAAAACCCATTGTAGGGATTACCATATAAAGGACATCAAGTTGACGTATGGTCAATGGGTGTTCTACTTTACACATTACTTTGTGGCTGCTTACCATTTGAAGATGATAATGTCCAAAAATTGTACGCGAAGATTGCGGTGTGTTACTACTATGTCTTGTTTTCAGTTATTAAGAAAATGCTTCAATTTCGTGTTAGACATCTTCGATTTACAAATTGTTGCAATATTTGTAGCGTTTTTGACTTCAGGCAGGAAGATATTACGAACCAAACTATATTAGCCCTCTTAGTAGAGACTTATTGAGGTCTTTGTTACAAGTGGATCCTGAAAAGCGCATCACCATTTCTAAACTGATCGTCCATCCGTGGATCAATAAAAAATACAGTCATACACTGAAATGGAAATCTATATACGATGTTAGCATTTCAAATGTTTCAATAAATAAATTTTAATTATGACTTTAAATTTGATGTAAAATTATAGAAAAATGTCGTCGATGAAGAAGTGGTCAAGGAGCTTGCTCATCACTTTGGGCGATCATATACCCAGATGGAAGTTCTTGTTAAAGAGGTAACTTTCAGGTTCAATCAATTTTTGGAATACATTTTATACTTATTATACTTATTGTTACTATTTCTTAACATTTTATTGATAACCTGGTATTAATGTCAGTATCATATTTTAGTGGAAATTTGATTACCTGACTGCTACGTATCGTTTGCTATTGCAACAGAAGAGGCGTGGAATGAATTTCGTCTTGCCAGTACTCAAGCCTAGAGATGGAATGGTATGATAAAGTTTGATTTCCGTTGCGAATCTGATTTTCTCTTTATTTCATTCATATTTGGTATGATGATTTATGTTTCTTTTTTTTAGAATTAGAATTTTCACTGCAAACAGTTTTTTGAAAATTTTTAGGCCAATCCGAAGCAAATTGTTTTGGGCTCCCAAACAATACATGCTTCACTAGATAACGATTTAAATAATTCTGGCTTGGACGAAAATGATTTAATGGTGTCAGAAGCTACATCGAAGGAAAATTGTACTGCGAAGTCATTTGAGGAAGACAATACTACTCCTGTAGCAACGCAACACGACAAAGTTTTTTTTCTTTCATTCTTGTGCAATGTTTTGCCAGTATTTTTATAGTTATTGAATTTATTCACAAAATTTTTATATATATTTTGTTCACCTGGCTTTCCAGTTTAGAATTTATCTTATGCTTACGCAATGCTCAATATGCCTTCTACCCATTCGGGAAGCTCACCCAAACAGCGTGCTGCCTGTGGTATTCGTCAGGAAAATGACTTTGCTAGTGCTCAATCAATTTATGCGACACCAGCACGGCGTCGAATGAAGCCTGAAGTAAGTCTTACGTCGTGATAGTACGGAAAGTCATCTAGAAGTAATCTTAACATTGAAACATATTGTGTGAAATTCATAAATATTTCAGTGTGCTATTATTTTTGATACTTGTCTTTACCGTGCGCTCGACAAAGAAAATTGGCATTCAACCACCACAAGAGTTCGTAGTCCGACAAAGGTGAGACTTTAGTTTAAATTTCACTATAAAGTATGAAGAATATTTCTTGATGGAATTCTGATTTTCTAGAGAATTCGGGATTATCTCGAAATTAAAAAGAAATAGAGTTTTTAAGGCACAAAATATTTCAATTTACTTTTTCTTGTTGTTTTTTTAATAAGAATAATTTTCAAAGCAATGCAGTCCATGATTGTCGTTGTTATCAAGGACGAAAACTTCATATACGAAACAAATTCTGCATATAAAGGGAGAAGAGTAGAGACAAATATAGTACTTAAAGATAGCAATTTTTGTATCATAGTTTTTTGTTCTCTCCTGATTTTCGCTGAGTAGAAGACATTGTTTTGTCGTGAAGTTAAAACTTTATTCTATTGGTAACATTTCTCTATATCTCATTTTAGAATTCTGACTCTGTACTGTTTGCGGATCATCATCTTAAGATCCAAAAATAATTTAGGGTCAGAATTCTAGATGTTAAAAATCTGGCAGTGATGATAGTTCGCAACAATCTTGAAAAAGTATGATGTTGACTTTCAGAACGGATATCTGAGCCAACAGATTTCAATTTAGAGGCTAAATGTGCGTGTTTTCTAGCTTAATTGTCGTTAGCAGTAGAGCTCTTTACAGATCGATGAACGCCCAAGAAGTAATCTTTATGCAACACCATTGCGAGTCCCGGCCTCTTGTACGCCTTCTACGAAGATGAGGTTCGTATCAGTTGCAAAACTAGCTGTTCCATGGTTCAATTAATTTTTTTTTCGAAATGTTTTAACAAGTAGTGTCACTTCCAGATCACGATCTATGGAACGCAATGGAACTTCACCATATACCCCACGTACTCCCGCAACGTGCCCTGCACATACTCCACGATCATTAGCTAAGACGCCGCATCTTCGTCAGCGAGTTTTCGCATCGCTGGAACGGCAAGCTGATAAAATGATCAATTTGCTGACACCGCGCAAAGTTAAAAATAACCAACCTGAAATGCTGAAGCAAACCAAGGTTTGTTTTATTAGCCATTCATAATTGAAAAGCCTGATATTCCAAATTAATTGAATCAACGTTGTCCTAACATTACCTTATTGTTTTATCTTAAATGTTTTTTAAAATTTCGAATTTAATATTTCCCAGTGCGCAAAAGAAAATAAGGCTTTTCAGACAATGGTAAATGTGTCAATTACATCTTCCAAGAATCCAGATCGTGTACGTCGTGAATTGATACGCGTTTTCGCTGAACAAAACATTACAACAGAACATCATGGGTATTGAATTTGACTTATATCCTGAGTGCATTCGTAGATGATATCAGTTCTAAATGAAACAATGTTGTCCTAGAAGCTGTTTTCTGGACCTTTTTTCTTAATTTATAAAATAATATACGCATTATAATATGCTATTGTTCAGTTTCCTTTATGCTTATTGTAGGTGGAAAATATCTGGTCGTAAAAAGGACGAATTCAACCGGATGATGACCGTAGAATTGGAAGTGGTTTGGATTGAAATGGGTAATAAGGAGAGATTAGTAGGTGTTAAACGAAAACGTCTTAATGGTGATGCTTTCCTATATAAAAAAGTTTGTGAACAAGTTCTTAAATTAGCCGGTTTGTAATTCTATTCGCAATTATTTATTGAGTAGAATTCCTGAATTACAGTAAAGTCGTTAAAACACTGGTTTTTTTGAATGCTGAAAATATTTAAAAATATTAAATTTGAAATTCTGCTAGCCTGTCGAAATATTGAACTGCATTGAAATCATTGAAACATCATGTTTTAAATATTAAATACATTTGAGACTGCCAAATATGACTTTATGGAAATGGTTCCTCATTCGGACTATTTATGAGAATTCTTTTTTGTTGATATGTGGACTCCAAATGTTTGACTTGTAAAAATGCTATTGTATGTGTGTAACTGTTTTACCTATAGTTAATGGTTTGTGGTTTTTTTCTCTAGGGATATTCCTGTCTTTAGAGTGAATATCAAACTGTAGCATATGCATTTCCTTTAACTCATTTTATCCGTACTTTGTTTTTTGAATTTACAATTAGTATTGGATTAAGCAGAAAATAATCATGATTTAAATTTCAGCTAGAATTTATCATTCCTTGTCATTTCGTCATAAATAGCAGTCTTCTCATGGTGCTTACTTTCATTTTTTATTTATTTGATTTATTTACTTCGAAGCTCTCATTAGATGGTTTTAACATAATTAATCGTACTCGTTTCTTATTATTGTCAGTGAAATTTTTGATGTCTTATAGCCAGATCTTATTTATGTTTATCATTGTTGTTGTGAATGAAGTGTTTGTTAACTGATAATAGCCGTGGTCAAAAAGTCAGAATTGTTTCATTGGCGGGGAAAGTAATTATCGGCTCGTTGATTTGCTCACTTTTATGTATGCCCATTAATTGTTTTAAATGAATGTTTAAATTCCCTTATCGTTTTTCAGGGGAATGTGTCGCAAGTAGCACGTCTTTTTTCGCCTCGTTTTCTTTATCTATATTAAACATATATTAAAATATATAAGTTTTGAAACATATCAAAAACGTATTGTATTTTGTTGTTGCTCAATAAATGCGTAACAGAGGCTGTGGTTAATTCTGCGCTATTTGTTTTTTTTACTCAAAGTTAAGTATTACTTTTCTTTGCTGATTTCGTTTAATATTTGCTAAAAAGAGAATCAATACAGAAATTATGTTGATTTTCAAATCGTTCAAATGGCTTTTCCAGTTTTTGTTTAGGAGGAATTCCTGGGAGATTTCTTGAGTGGAGATTTTTGGTGATGACGGAGTATAGAATTAAGAATGTGGGAGTGTGAAGTTTGGAACTTTGTACATGGTTCCTAAAAAGAATTATCGTTAAATTTATTGCTCCTTGTTTGGAGGACGACACGCAAAAAATCGGAAACATTCTGTTGTTACCGTGATCAAAAGATCAATCTAGAGGAACTGGACGTAGAACGTCTGTTAATAATCTAACATGTAAGTAGAGCAGTCCATGCTCAATTTTGTTTTGATCTTTTGTTTTTTTAAACAGTTTTCCAAAGTATCTTTTTTTACGGGAAGCTGTTTAGGCACTACTAACCGACACATTTCGAATATTATCACCAGTGGAGAGTTTTTTTTTTTCGAAGTATATTCAGTGCCAAAACCGAGATGGCAGCAGCTTCTGAATCAGATGCATAAAGAATGGGAATAGTGTTTTGAACAAAAAATTTCCTATCTCAGATGATGTACTATTCCTTTTAACTTCTTGAAGTTACGATTGTTTTATGCTGCAATTTGCAAAGTACTCGTTTATATATGTGAAAGATTGTCTCTAAACAATTTTCACTATTAACTTTAGCAAAAGTGTATCCGATAGATGAAAGTACTTTCAACTAGATCAACTACTTAATTTATCTTAATTTAACTTTAAATTAAAAGGTTTGGTGAAAGCGCTAAACTTCTTGTAAACTTTTCTAATAGCTTAACTTCGTTATTGACAAGCTAATGACATTTGCTGATACGCTTCTTCCCATTAGGTGTTTAAATCATATGTTGATTAATGAATATCTTCCTGGACAGGATATCATGACTCATTGGCAGTTTTGTTAAGTGTATTCATAGATTATTGAAATGTTGTTGTTAGATCTGGATAAATATTGTTTGCATCACATCATTATATTTTTTTAGCACACATGGGTGGTCTTGCTTTCTATCCGATAACTACTACAATTTTTCTTAGGTATTAAAATAGTTATTGATTATTATAAACCTAGAGATCCAAAGGTTCAGTTCACTTTACTATGCTTCTGTCAAAATTCTTCCGGATTCCATCTTTAAATCTTGTTGATTCGAAGTTTGACAGAATCGGAAAAACTTCAAGCGGATGTGAAATTTTGCGGCGAAACAACGTTACCTTGGTTCAATATCACTTGAGCAACGTAGCTTGATCTTTGTTAGCGATGATGTATATGCAAATTGAAATTGCGCACCGACCATTTGACAAGTGATATTTTTGAGCTTGAAAGCGTCGAAATCATGATCTCAAGTTGACGTTATATTTTGAAATTTCTGAAATGCTTTTAATAAGATAACATTCGGTGCAGACACCGTAAATTTTTTCAGTGCTGTTGTATAATTTGTATTTGGTATAAATGTTATCACTGGGGACATGTTGCACTGAATAGTCGGACGGTGGTTGTTTACTTTTTAAGTATTGTTAACAATTCGCTGTGTTTTAAAAATGAGCAAGATGATTTGCAGCTGATTTGAGCTTATTACTGCAGCTGATTTGACCATAAGGGAGTAATTTTCGTTAAGTTTTCTGACAACTGTGGGTCATATTGATTTTAAAAATTTTTTTTGAATGGATTTTGTTACGTCTATTTGAAGCGTTATTTTTTCCTAGAAGTTTATAAATGGGTTGCTTTAAGGTAGATATACTGATTTGTTTTTAAAGTAGATGCACTGATTTTACTTCAGTCCTAATATTTTTCGTTAAATCCCACAGTTTATTGTAACTTTATCTCATTCTGCGCGTTATTTATACTTTTTTTATTTGTTACTATTATCCCACGACTTAAAAATAAAAATCACACTTAAATAATAAGCAGTTCATTCATTAGTTTTTGAATACTTTAAACCTGGCACGAAACAACATTTTGAAACGGATTTTGCAACGATGAACCGAACAACCAGAATTATCCTTTAAAGTTATGTTCTTGAAGACTTCATGTTTAGAACAATTGGAAGTTTTAGTTGCGAATTACAAGTTTTAAGGGCTAGGCATTGTTTTCTTAAAAAAACACAAGGATCACTGCACAGAAGGCAAATGATGAGGATAAGAAAAGCGGTCATTTTGAAAATTGCAATTGGGGTAGCAAGATTGATGGCGTTTGGTAATGGTTAACGGTTCAGTAGTTCCGTAAATGTGAATGCGGTAAAGTTATGTTACTCTGATTGCGCAATGTCATATAGTGAGCATTTGGTGCACGAAGTGACAGTTGATAGCTTAGCTGTGCCTTCAATGTTTGACAAAGACTAAACACCGCAACCATATGTCATCCGCACACCGACCACTATCAGCATCTTAGGTTGTGTGCCTTATTCGAACGATACCGATTTTATGGTCATTTGAAAATTCCCAATATCGAATAAATTAAAGTTCAATTGAAGAGTTGTGTATCTCCTTGAATATATTGTGAAGTATTCCCCCCTTCCCTCTAAAAAAAAGTAATTTGACCATTTTGCATTTGAGTGTGACAGTGTTTAACTATGAACAATGTGATTGCTCTACTAGGCATAATTTCTCAATGAAAGATAATGACGATATGATGATTTGATTTTAGTTCCTTCAATATTTAAATAAAAATCATTGTTCAAAAATTAGATTCTTAGTTCAAATGATATTGTTAGTGAATGGTGTAACGAAATATAGAAAATTTTTATGGTCATTACCGCCATTGACCATTGCTGAACTCAATTGTTATTTTCTATCAGTCAGCTAACCACTTCCTTGTTGAAATAAAAAACAAAAAAAATTACTGTTAGCTTTATCTGATACTCACTCCATCAAATTGAGACCTCAGGGTACCATACTAACATATGAAAATAAGCAGAAATTTGAGCTGGTTTAAATCATCTGTTTGGTGAACTCGTTGACCTCTTCTCCTTGTCTCTGTGAAGATCAACAACAGGAATTTGGACTGGAGCAAGGATGTTTATAATTTGGAAATCAAATTGACGATTGCCTGGTCAGCAGATGAAGTAATTTGTTTATTCTTCCAATGAACAACATAATTCATACAGTAATCAGGTCCTATTATGATCACTTATTCCGTGAGTACTGAAATTTTCTTTAAATTATTGAAAAAAATTAAAAAATAAGTGATTTTTTATGGTGGCGTATAAAATGGTACAAAGTTAAATTATCTACCAGAAAATTTTCAGAATCATTTAAAATTGGTTTTGCATTTCGCAGTGATTGGATATTCTCAGTTTTGAAAGAATTCAATGTCAATTTGTTTTTTAGTACTACTTCGAATTTTTATAATATTATCTGAAACTTAAAAGTATCTGGAACATTCCAAAAGGGTAGTCTTATCATGATTTTTTCTCAAAAGGATTATCAATATATGAAAATGCAAAGGTGAAAAAATCAAGTAAAAATTAAAGAGAGGAAAAAAATTAAAATTGAAATTAGATCTAAATTTTTTGAATAAAAAGATCTTAAGAAAAATGAACAGAAAGGCATTATTGTGGGGCAGATTGAAATGAAGATGAGGAGGGGTGGTTGAAGTTACCGTATCCTGGAAGACGCTTCAAAGTAATCCATAGGGGTATTTGACCAAAATGAAAAGGCCCAACCCCTAGTTCAGTTTGTTTGCATGTGTATAAGAGAGTAGTAAAGTCATTCTGGATTGGTGGGATCATCCTGGTAGCCTAGTTCATTGTTAGAGCTAATCCGTAGGATTCAGAAGGACTCTGCTGTGAATCACAATCATTTCGTTTAGAAATTCCTTTGTGGTAACCAAATGTGCTGCAAAAGAATTAAATTAGGGTGAATTTGTTGCAAGCACTAATCCTTACGTATTTTAAAATGTAATCCAGGAAACACTCCGACAGCTTCCCTCTGGTCATGGATTTAGAAGCAAATCATCTGGAACAACAACAACAGCCCCACAATCTTCCAGGCTTTCCCGGGCACTTGATTAGGGCTGATATCGTTCCTTCTATATTGGATGCTTCAGCTGTTGCGGCAACTGCAACTACAAATGTTGCTGCAAACACTGCAAATAGTACAACAGCCACAACCTTACTGTTTGACAGCACTTCGTTGAATATTACTGCCAGCAGTGGTACCCTGACAGTAACTAGTGCTATCTGTCCACCACCATCTAGCTCCTCATCCAGCATTTTCTCCACCACTCAACATGATATCTATCGATTACCAAATGTTGATGCTGTTGACCAGAATGCTACTACTCTGAATAATATTGCAGGAAAATTACCGAAAAGTATGTTTTATTATTAATTTAAAATTCATTCCAAAATACTTAATCTAAACGATTATAAATGAATGATTTACTTTAAATTTTCCCTTCAAACTTACTTATGTAAATTTATCCTTAAAATATTGGTTTCTTTTAAATTAGTTGCTAGCCCGAAAATTAATGTAATTGCAAGAATCCTGAAATCTGCTAATGAAATTCAATACATTATTACCAGATTTGTCGAGAGCTTTTCAAATCTAACAAAATTTTGGAAGACAAGCACATTTTACAGTAACGATTAATATTGGAATATTTCATCATTAACAAATAGTTTACAGACTTTTTACCTAAAACTTCTACTGTTTATCTCGATTATTCATATTAAATATAGCTGGCATTCAACAATTTGAAGGAAGTTATGCACTTGATTCAAGTACATAACTTCTTTTCCTTGTCAGTGTCTAAAAAATTTTATAACATAACATCGTAGTTTTTACTTTATTCGTTTTTGTAATTATTAGTTTGTTTTATCAGACATTGACAAAATTCAGATAAAGGATTGCATTTTTAAAGTCCGTTACGGAATCAGCTTAGACAAAGCTGATTCCAAAATTAGTAATATCACTGCTAACTGATTTGGTAAGCCAGAACTATCATCACATCATCTCTATCCCTTAATTATAAAATTTACATCACTTTTTTATTGATTCAACAAAATTATTATGAAAAATAAGTGTGCATACCAGAAATGTATTTTAATGCTTCGTTGATCGCTTTTTCTGATGTTTTTAACAGTTTAAAAATTAATACTTATTTAGCTGTTCAAAAGGGTAACATTTGTAGTAGAAGATGGGAAAAAAGAATACGATGCATCATCAGGAAGTATTGAATGTGATGGAAATTCGAATGCATCACCAGATACTTGTTTGATCAGTAGTCAGAAACCACGCAGACAACGTACTCATTTTACAAGTCATCAGGTTAATTTATGACCATCAAAGTTCTTCTGTATTTTCTGTTATTCACATCAATAACATAACTCTGAATATCAAAAATAAGAAATCGAAAAATACATTACATTAGTTTGAAATGAAATTTTAAGAATTATATTTTGAAATTATAGCATCTTATGAGCAATATTTTCCGTCACTGTTTTACAATTCTAACAATTGCTCTGCAGCTAACAGAGTTAGAAAATTGGTTTTCACGGAATCGCTACCCAGATATGGCCACAAGAGAGGAAATTGCATTATGGATCAGTCTTACGGAGCCACGAGTTCGCGTATGTTTCTCAAAAAAAAAAAGAAAACGTACAATTTATGATTGAATGACTGTGTTTGCTCATTTCCTCCTATTAAAAGAAGAGATGCAATTTTTGATATTTTTTTAAACATTTCTGTTACTTTATTTTTTTTGTTTTTTTGCAGAAAAAAAAGAATTTCTAGATGCGTTTAATTAGCTTCAATCGAAATAATGTCTTTACCTCAAAACCTTGAGATGCAGCAGTCTCCGAAACCCTATAATTGAAATGTGTAATTTGTGTCACTTCTAATGAATTGAAATCCCAAGCGGCTATAGACCGCTCTCCTTCTTTGCTGATTAAATTAACGCGTTATCAATGCAACATCAAATCATTTAGCACTCATTACCATGATTATCATTGTTATCGTCAGCATCATTTATCACCGTCAAAGCCTTATCATTGTCATAATTATTGTTATATCATTATCTCATATCATTATCTCTATAAAAATATTGGTAATGTTGATATCGTCAACATCATTGTTACCCTAAAACATCCAAAACAATCCATTTTTAATTAAGAATTTGATTTTCCTACGCTTCCTTGCTTACCACTCTCTTTCCTCATGTCAATAATTAAAACAGCGAACTTATTGTTCTTCCTATTAAAGTTATTGCTTCCTTCAATTTAGTCGATCATCCTCTGAAGGTAAGCATTAAACAAATAGTCTCACCGAATATATTATTTGGAAATAAAATCGTGATTTCATGCTCGAAGCTCTGAGAATGGATATATTTTCAAATAATTACAATTTAAAAATATGAACAAATATTTTGCAAATAGCCAATGGTCTTTTAAAGCTTACGGTAACTAATGTTTGGAAAGTCAAAGTGCAGCGTTCGCTTTTAAGCATACACAGATGAATGAGCATTGTCTTTACTAACATTTGAAAGCATCATCATCAATTTCTGCAACAGACTAGATGACCATGATTTCAGTGTTTGGATTTTTTAAGTCCTTATGCGATTTTGATTTAGTACATTAGAATTTATGAAATAGATAAAATTTTTAAAAGAGATAATGCTTGTTAACTTGAAACAAAATTGAAACTTGGTAAAAATTAAATTGTTCAACTTCATTTATCTTTCTTAACTTTCTTGATACTTTATCAACCATTTCATTCCTGCATGAATAATATTGATTGTTGCTTAGCATATTCATTTATTCATTATCTAGTATAGTTTATCTATTAAATTCAAATAATTTAAATCCTATTTGTGTTCCATGGCAAGTTCTAATTTTGATTGAATTATTGAGTAGATGGTTGAAATAGATCAATCATGCTTCTTTTAAAGGTATGGTTTAAAAACAGACGAGCAAAATGGCGTAAACGAGAGCGCCATTTGTTAACTCCTGATTTCAAAAACTTTCAGCCAACTGGCTGTTTCCCACAAACTCTTTTGCCAACTCATCCGCAGGTAACAACTTTTTTGTATTAATTTGATTAAAATTTAATTTCTTTTTCACTTGCGTTGTTGGGAATTCTTCGTTTAGTTATTCAAAAATTTATTTGAAAAGTCTGCTTTTTAAGCGCTCAAATTCTATTACAGCTTGACGATGTTTATGGATCCCCATCTTGGCAAGGTTATTCTACGAGGAATCCGAATACTGCTTTTGGTTGGGCTTTAAAAGCACAAGTAATTCTTTTTACTAGTTTCTAGTTAAAAAAAAGAAGATATGCAAATGACAACTCTGCAAGTAAGTCAAATAATTCATTATCAAATCGAATTTTGATTAGATTGACTTATAGCTAATTAACATTCTTTTTTAACTTAATTTATTTTTAAAATCTAAATTTGAATTTGTAGGGACCGCTACAACACACTTTCCCTCAGTTAATGACTCCAACGACATCCAACAATGCGACGGCCCTCTCTCGCTTTCCCCCTACTCAGCCACAATTTTACACAACCAGTACCACAAATACCATTAATTTAACGTCAAAAGATGATAAGTTCAAGTTACACTCCCAAGGATATTGCTCCTCTGCAATGCAAATGCCTAATACTGGAACCCATTCTCAACAGGCCAGCAGTTTTTCAGTTCAGTCATATCAATACAACGGTCCACTGTAAACATGCAGTTCAGAATTGTCACACAACCACAGAAAATATCACATCGACCTTTGCAATAGGTACTGTGGTAATGGTAAATTAGGAAATCAATCCATTTTCTATTTTTAAGTGTTTCATTTCTTAGTCTTCTAGAAAACTACAAAAAAAATTACTTCCTGTGCAGATTGTTAGCGATCCATTCCTATGCATTTTGCTTCGATTGTACGAATTATTATTTTTTCTTTTGAAAAATTTCTTAGAAATTTTAATCGCTGTAGGATTTTCATTTTCTCTAATCTCGCAGAATAACTTTGTTACAATCCATAATTATTTTTTCATTTATTCAGTTTATCTAGTTCAAAATTTTTAACTAATTTCTTCACCTCCAATTTCTGATCATCTTCAAAATATGAAGAATTTTGTTATTTTCATTATCAATTGGGAATCTAAATTCATATAGTTTTTCAAATTTATCATTGTTTATCATTATTAAATCATTCATTTTTACTTCTCTTTAAAAGTGAGATGCAACGCCAACTTGCATTGTATCTTTTCATAGTTTCTTCTACACAGAATACTTTATTTTCAGCCTTTGCATGTTTTTTAGAAATAAACCTGAACATATCCAGTTATATTAATGGAATAATAATTTATGAAAATAGTATAATATTCAAAGTTCACTACGCACAACCACGCATGTTTTGTTTGCCTCATAAATTTTTTTCCTACAGCATTAAATGTTGGGAACCGTAAAAAGTTAGCACTAATAAAACAGGTAAGTTTATTTAAATTAGTAAATTCATTTATTTGAGCTTGAATTTCCATTTCAGATGGCTGCACGCATCTTCATGTTCGTATAATTAGTTCTCCAGTTGTTATCTGAAATTGATTTAAAAAGATGAGAGGTAGCATGTAAGATGGGCCCAGAAAATCAATATTTATTGATTGTGAGGAAAAAAATATATGAACTAAATATGAAATACTTCGTCTTTGCACTTAATGAAATCTGTTTTAGGTCAGAAATCACAATAGTTAATAATATTCCTTACATTTTAATACTCTCTTCCCATTCATGAATTATTCCCATTGAACAAAATATTATGCAACAAATAAAAAAAGAAAACACGTCCTCTTTCAACTGTTATTTGCTTTAGTTATTAATTCCAATTGTTCACGCAAATACTCTGTATGTTATTTTGCTAATTTTATTTCATGGAATTTCATCACATTGAATAACAAGTAGTTCTACTGTGTTGTAATAATTTGCAAGTAATATGGGAAAACTGTAAAATGACCAAATTTATAAAATTAAATGTTTTAGCTAATTTTATAATTTGTGCTCGAATACATGAAAATCAATTCATCATATAGGCTTAAATACAAATCAATAATTAGCAATGCGCAGAAAGCATTTTAAAGGCTAATTGATCAATTGAGAAGTACTGCTATATGCTCTATTACCACGATAGCAAAATGAATACGGTTTGTTCTGGTTTCCTCAATAATTATTTTATAAAATAGTTTGAAAATTTTTCAGGTTCGACTAATTTCACAATTTTTTTTTATTAATTTCATCAAATCAACTAAATAAGAAAGCAAAAACTTTATAACATTACGATTTCAACAAAATTTTTTTTCCAAATTACGATAAACTTTGCGTGATTTTTTCATTTATACAGTTTTAACTATTTTATTTAAATATGATTTTATAGCAGTTATAAATCGAATCACTTAACATTTATAGATTAAAGAAAAAAATCCGTCTTATTCTCTGGGAACTTTATAAAGGGATTTTTAAATTTTAATCCACAATATAATACTAAAGTTGCTAGAAAAATAAAAATTCAAATTATTATTTTTTTTTTTACTTTCAATTTTGTTCAAAGAATTTTTTCTCTTGGAAATTTTCACAAAAAATGGGATGTCCATAATTTGAAGAAGTTCTTTTTATGAATTAGTTTTCTTAGATTTTTAAATTTTAATCCACGATATAATACTAAAGTTGCATACAAAACAGTCACAATGTCCGAATTTATGCTGAGTTACTTATCTTAGATTCAGAAATTAGCCGTTAATAAGAGCATAGTGCTTTTTTAGCTTCAGTTCCCATGGCAAATTTTAATATGAAGTGAATAAGTTAATAGCATAGCTGCAGCTGCATATGCTCGCAAAAAGATTTGTTTGGATAAAGTTAATCGACATGTGTTTTTCTTTATTATTCACAAAGTGCATTAAACTTCAATAGCTATCGCCCATTTCCTATAAACATCGCTGCTTCAGAAATTCTTGCTTTCTTCTTTAAAAAAAAATTCAAAGAACTATCTTGTTTTTTAGTGGTGGTAAAGTAGTTATGCTTTCAACAAAGCTCATCAAAGTAACAAAATATGGGAAAGAAATTTTACTTATTTGTTACAAATTTTGTAGGTTACCAAAATCCTTTATATAGTTTGCAATTGTTGCATGAATCTGAGGCTTTTCTTTTTCGTATATCTTGAAAAATTCAATTTTTGCTACTTTTTTGCTAGCTGCTTTTTTTGTAATGCCTAATTTTTCCTAACCCCAAAACTAGTAATTAACTTTTGCCGCCAAGTATTTGAATTCATTGAGCATAAAATGAACTCATTTTTTTACTCTCATAAGGCAGTAATTGAAGTAAATATATGGCCATTGCTAGCTCTGACACAGCGCAAGTGTTATTGCTTTGGTAGAATAAATAATTATTGTGATAAGATTACCCGAAAATTTCTTGAAATGAAAAGGACTGATCATTTTCATTTCTCCTGTACAACATATCACAAATATCATTTTGAAAATTTCCATTGATCGGTCTAATTGTTTTGATGATAAAACTGTGAATTTTAAGACATTAAATTATACATTTAGAATAATTAGCATTATTTGAAAAAAATTTCAACAAATCTTTAAAAGAAAAATTCCCACTATCGAATAGTACATTAAAGATCGACGGAACTTTTCACTTGTTTAATACTCTCTGATGCAGTGAAATATATGCTTGTCAAATTAAGTAAGTACAATATTTTTTCTTTCTAATTTCAGTTTTAACCAATATGCTGTGACTGATTGAATGAGTAAATGTTTAATGACTGGTAGAAATTAAGAATTAGTTTTGAAAATTTGTAGTATTAAATAGGAGAAACCAATATTTGAACAATTTCTTTAATGAAAATTCAACACATAAAAAGATTTTTAAACAAAAGGTCATTATTTTTTGTAAGAAACTCATTATAGTGGCATAATATTTGACCTTGAAATTTTACAATTCACATTCATAATTTCGAGAGAACTTTCGAAAATATTTCACGAATCATTTAGGCATACACTGGTGACGATGTATGCCTAAATGAAAAAAGGACACATATACAAGTGCGCAGGTGAAACGGTGGTGAAAATAAGTAACATTTGAGGGCTATGTATAAAAAATTATTTATAAAGTGAAATGTTAAGGAAAGAAAAATAATTAACAGACTTGATGTTTACGTCATGAACCTAATTGAGAAAACGATGTCATCCAATTATATGCTCGTCCCAATTGTTGCAGGATAGGTTTCCAATACAAAGTAATTGACTTAGTTAAATGAAAAATAAAGTATTCATCTTTTTATTTTGAATAACAAAATGTGAAAAATTGGCTATTTTTATTGCTCTATTGGTTCCTTTTTTTTCCTGAAATGGTCTTTGATAATTATTGATCCCGAAAAGCCTGATTTATGCAACGATATTAGAAGGGTTGGCTTTCCTCTAAGATTCAAATAATGCCGTAAAGAGAATTTATTCGATGGATATCCTTTATTCAAATATCCAGAATTTCTCAGGATGTACTCCACATTATCTCACAGTAAGCCCTTTGCTCATATGGCTTGCGAACGATGGCTTCATGCAAGATTGGATGATTTACGCGCTAAAAGTGTCTTCAATCATGTTTGTTTTTTTTTAATTATTCAGATTAAAAAAGAGGATTTTTTCCTATGGTCTATTATTTCATATAAAAATTTGTTTCATTCAATTTTTTCATAGACATTTTACATTTTTGGAGTTTTTTCTATTCTTTCCAATTCTATTTAATCTCAAAAAAAAGACTGTGAGAAATAGTCATAAATAATGAAATAGATTTCTTATATTGTGAATGCATAATTAAAAGAATTCTTTCTAGCGAGCGGAATATGAATATTTGCCACATAAACTGGAAAAAAGCTTTGTGGATTTCAATGTCAAAGAGAAAAATATTCGTGGTGAAACTCTTATTATGTCAGTGATAAGATATGAACTTAATAAGGCAAATCAGGTTTGTCTGATTCTTCAGGAAAAATTTATGTGGAGAAAATCAGTTCAGCAACAAAAATGGAAATGTTTAAGAAATAGGGTTAGTTTAAGAAATAGAGTTAATGACAAATTTGAAGGTGCGCTATATAAACTTGTTGATTCGTTCTGGATTCGATCCTTCCGAACCAGATGAAAGACAATTACGCACACCGCTCATGTTAGCTTGTTTGATGAGAAACGATACCGTTGCACACCACTTGATCTTGGTTTGATAACTTTAATTTATTCCATTTACCTCTATTGCAAAAATAAATAAATTTGACATTTTATTTTATATGGGATTAGAATTGCTGTAATTCAACTATTATCAACAGCTGGGAAATGTATTCCACAAGAACCCATTTATAAGAAAATGTTACTTTTTCATGTCTCATTTTAATATTTTGCTAACGGGTGTGATTTCATTGAATTATACTGAGAAATTAAGGTTCATTTTTCTTTTTTTTTAGCAAAATGTGAATCTTATGGCAGCTGATAAAATGGGTAATACAGTATTAATGTATGCGGCAATGTACTCCCAATCATCTTTGTTAAACTTTCTGGTAGAGGAACTATCCAGGCGATGGTGTATCGAAGCATTTCGTACCAAAAATTTAATGGGTTATACTGCAGAGAGCTTAGCTCGGAAAAATGAACGATACATGTTTTCTATGTAATCTTTTACTTTACTTTTTTTTTAAATTAATTCTTTTGAATATGAGATTGCCTTTCTAGAAAACTGTCTTTTGTTGCGCGAAATATGAATCGCATTTTCCTCCATATGAAGGATGAAAAAACTGAAACTGACCTTGCAAGAAATGTACAAATATTTCGGAATTCGAAAAAACTAAATACTCTTAAGTTGTATAAAAATAACAATAAACGCCAATAATACCGTATTGGCAATCTAAAGAGATTTTTAATTTATCATATGAGAAAATCAATGCAAATTTATCGCTCGGAAAATCTACTACCTGTTAGTTTTCAGGATGTTGAAGAAGGGACGTTTACGTTTGGTAAAACGACTTCGCGATCAAGTTTCCTCAAATTTGATGTTTGCACCATCGTTTAATAATTGGAGTACATACAGTAGCATTTATAAAGTAATGGTGAAACTGTTTTCTCCATATATAAAAGTTGAAATTTATAATGATCCGATATATAGAATTATTTGATAACTTTTAAATGATATATGAACCTTTTGATGTTTAGATTATACATATATCGCTTGATTTCACGAAGCAAATAAGAGATAGAGGCCCTTTTACACCACTGATGAAAATTGAATTCTTTCGCTATTGAAAATATATTTGCAGGCTAAGCGGAAGTTTTTGTTATATGCACGAGGATGTGTGCAAACTTTGCAACACGTTGCTTCACCACGAGCCAAAAATTCGAAATCATCATTACCACTGTTGCATGTTAGTATTTGCGGAAATATTCAAATTTACATCGGTAACAGTAAAACTTGAAGCAATCTTCTAAACATTAATATTTTATCCATAAAAAGAATAAAGAGGATAAAACAATCTGTCGACTTAAGATAATGAGTGAAAGAATATTTTTATGAAGCATAGTAAGATATTCATCCGGAGTTCTATTAAACGAATGATTTAGTGAAGTATTGAATTCGTTGCACAATCAATCGACAAGACATGAATGTTTGATTTCTCAAAGGAATCTCACTAGAGTTATATTTCTAAAATTTCAAATTTTTATAATTGAGGGCAGAATTTACACTTAGTGGTTCACTCGTTTTTACCAGATTGTCTGGTCAAGAATTGAAAGCAATTATTAATCAAAAGATAAGTTAAAGAAGGCTAAATAAATCAGGAAACAAGAAATTCAAAACTAAAGAGATTAAGAGAACAGAAAAATTTTCTGATCTTAGGTACAATATCATTGTTCCTATCTTTATTTGAATCGAAGATATTATTGTGTTGATCTTTTCTTTTATGAAATGTACTATAGAAGTTTTCCAAATTGCAGACTGCATCTCATTCTTAAAAAAACAATTTTCGAAATATGATTTTGAAAATTCTAAAATGAAAAATGTTTCAGAATGTAAACAGCAGACTTTCCTTGAAAAATTGCCAATCTAAGATCATTCCAACGCCACACAGTATAGTGGAAATGAATATCAACTTACCACCCTTATCACAATCGCTTGTGAATGCACCAACAGCATTTTCAGATAAGCGAGGAAAAATGTTTCAGGGTAAATAATAAATTTTCTTTGAAAAATTGTTGTTAATCTAAAATCAATTGTCATAGAAAAATGATGAAAATAAACATCAACACTGCGATTTCCTATCACTCACTTACAACTTAGCCTATCTGCTTTTAAATTCGAATTTTCATTGCTGCATCGTAACATTTTATGAAAGAACAGTCAAAAATTATCATCTAAAAGAATTAATTCCGTTCATATGATCCGTTCATAAATCTGATTTACTTACTAAAAGTAAGTATGAAACCAAAATTTTGCAGGTAACTGAACATGCAAAAGATGGAAAGATAGTTGTGATTGTAACAGTGACAGCAGTAAGTAAATGATTATTCGATTACGACGGATGGAAGTGCCTTCTGAATAATTAATTATCTGACCATTTTGTAAAACTTACACGACATACCAATCAATGTATTAGCTGCAAATAAATCTAATAAAACAAAATATGCTGCAGCACTGGTAACTTACAAACTCGTTTATGAAGAGTTTATAAGTTATATAACGCATATGATAATCAAGTGAAATCAATAAAAATTATTCAATATAAATTTCATAACAATCCTGCATTCTTGATCCCTGACAAATTTAAATGAGTCACTTAAAAAGAAGAATTTTATTTTGCACAAATATGATATTTCATGCTATCGTGTTATTGGTGACAAAATTGCATAGATCGTATATTCATGAAAGACATTTTAGGTAGATTTATAGAATATTTTGATAATCAAAAATCATGCTTACCACTTCTGAAACTCAGCAATTTTTTTTTGTTAGAGATTTAGGACTATGATTTTGTAATAAGAAAGACTATAGATTTTTTAAAAGTTTCCAAATGAAACGAAGTGCATTAAAATTATTCAACAAATAACCGGAAAAAAAGAACTATACGGTAGTTTCAGGAGTTGAAGCTAACTTATACTTTCTATAAATAAGTGTCACATTATTACTCTCTTCACTTCTTTCTTCAGATCGTACATGAGACAAAGTACGACTTTTATCTTCTTTTTCTAATGAAAGTTCCGTTGCCAAATTTCCAATACTACGTGAGACACCTGTCAGACGTTGCTTAGTTTGCATTTCATAGTTCTTTCGCTTCAATCATGTCATACATTCAAAATTTTAATTTCCCAAAGTCTGTGATACAACTGTGTAAAATTTGAATTTTATAGCATAAAAACATTAAAAAATGCATTAATACATTTAGTTTTGGATGTTTTCCGCAATTTTTGTGTCATCGAAGTTATCCTTTTTAGTGCATGAAAAAAAGTGAAATTTTCAAATTCTTTACCTGCACTGGTAATAGCATCTTCATTTGCAAATTAGCTTGCTCAACTTGCGGTGTCATCAGTGTGTCTGTTTCTTTTGCGTACTCGGTGAGTTCATCTGAAAAGATAATTTTGACTGTTATTTTGGTCTCTACTGAAAACTATATTGGAAAATCTCAGCAGCAGATTTTGTATTTATATCTACTAGGCAATAATTTTCAATTCAAATTCGTAACGAATATTAAATTTGAAAATTCAATTCAATTTATTACAAATGCACTTAAGACACTCATCCTAGCTTTGAAAAAATTAAATATCGTTTCAGTGTTATTGGACAGCAAAGAAGTAGTGAATTTTTTGCAAAGATGAAGGAAATAAATCTCAATAGACAAAAGGCCAATTCCACAATAAAATTAAAAAGGTATTTAGTTCGTGTCATATTGAATACATGAGAGCCTTTCGTTTGTAGGTCCGAGAAAACTGAGAGAGGCGCTGCTCCGGAAAACAGAAACGCAGGAATAAATATAAGTGAATCATGATAATAATATCATTTACATATAATTTTAAACAGATCCAAAAAAACATTTAAGAATAAGGATAAAACTATTATATAAAAGCCAACATTTGCCACAATCAATTATTTTTTAATAAAAGTTTTAATTAGCACAATTTGTGATGATTTTGCAACTGAGAGTTTTTAACATACATGCACTTGGAATGACGGTAAAATTCCTGGATGATGAAAGTAAAAATAAGAATAAAATTGTGTGTTGAATAGAATTCTATTAAATTGAAGTATTACCTTTTTTGGTACCAAGATAATCAACCCAATCACTGCTTGCAGTTAGCATTTTATCCGAGGTTAAATTATGATAACCTGAAGATTCCAATGACCGAAAATGTGCGTGCTTGGATTGTTTTGGTACCTATAGCAAAGACCAAGTAAAAAATTTAAAACAGCTAAAAGAGCGCAAAAGTTTTCTGAATCCATTAGAGCTTCAAGAATCCATAGCATTTATCTCAATATTATCAAACTGAATAATCATTATTAAAATAATAATAGGAAAAAATGATATTTGAACATACCGTTGTATCGTTGTTAATTTCAGCAGAACACTGTTTATTTTGTATTAAAATTGGTAGAGTTTTTTGTAAGTGTGACATTGAATGAGTGGTGCTAACAAGTTTTTCAGTTAGTAATGAATATTCAGGCAGGGAACCTGAGGGATACCAAATTGGGCTTGACTCCATGACAAATGATTGCTTCTCTTCCTGTAAAAATTGAGAAAATTTTAAAATGATCTAAATAGATGAAAAATTATTTTCAAGTATAAATAATAAATTTCTTTAAGCAATCAAACTATTATATAAATTTTTCATCCTATCGCTTTAAATCGTGCAAAAGCAGACCATCTAATGAAAAATGATGCGATTCAGCTTGTTAAACTTCCTTTCATTTTTTCCCGGTTTTGTGGTAAGTTTCAGAAAATTTTTGTTTTAAACCGCAACTGGTTATGAAACTCAATATCAATCAAAAGAATAAAATGCATATAAATCAAATTTGAGTTTCAAATGAAACTTGAATTATCCATTTAAAACATTATAAAATAACTTATAAATAAGTGGGGAATGATCATGATGCACCTTCTGACTATCTCCTTCAGTGATTGCAATTGTCTTCTTTGGCGGTGAAAGACTAAGTTTCGGATGTTTTAAACTGCTTCCAAAGGAAGCAGGGGTATTGCTTGCCGATATATTTGATGAACTCGCTGATTTACATATATTCTGCATTTTCAATCGCCTGAAACTATACAAATTACAATCGTAAAAACGAATTCTCGCAAGTAAAAAAAACCATTTGAATTGAAAATCTCACGTTGGAACCAATTTCTTGCTACTTCTAAATAATCACAAGCTAAAAAATAACTAATAGCTTCGAAATTATTTCCACAATTATGAGCCATTTTTTGCATTTCAAATCCGAATCCGTATGTTAATAAATTGTTTTCCTACATAATAGCATCAGACTTCACCTGCACTTACTCTTTTGAATTTACTTATCCTGACTTTTAGCAACTTTCTACATCGCCCTATACTATCGATCATATCATATTTTTAGCCACTTCATATTTTTTACTTTTTTATCAGTGTTATTTTTATAGATTACAGCTGAGTTTGATTTTCTCAATTTTTATTATCGTCATATTTTTTAACTCCGACGAGTCTCGAATAATCCTGGAACATTCTTTTTTAAATAATGCACTAATAGCCAATTATCTCCAAAAGCATTTAAACTTCTCGTTATTTAGAAGTTGATATCACAAAGAAAAGTGTTATTGCTCACAGTTTACAAAAACAAAAAAACAAAAAACAAAAGTCTGTTTAGTTTCTACTTTGTAAATAGTTAAATTTGGATGTTAAGTAATCATTCTTAGTTTCTTCTTAGAAGTTCTAAAATTGTTTTGGGTTTCTTATGTAGCTTGGTTTTTCGATATATTTACAAGATGATGAACACAACAGATATTGTCCGTCATTCATCTCGTCTAACCTGAAAAATGAATCTGACATTCTGTTTCACGTGGCTAAGATATTTGCGCCGCTATTCTTTTCCATATTTCATTACAATTTAAAGTTTACATAGCTGGTAGTGATGTCGCTCCGTAGAGAGAATTGTCCCCAATGTATTGAATAACTTCGTCACTTGTACAGTATCGTATCGACTCTTTCCGCCGTATTGCTGTTCTAAAATTAACTTCACAACCATTAAATCTAATTTTTTTAAAGCACTAGAGAAGTTAAATATTTGTACTCAAAATAACTTAGCAACTATATCTAAAGTAACTTAGCGAATTAAACGAATTAGAATAGTGATGAAATGAAAGTTATAGAATATATAAATTTTTGGAAATTCAAATGATAGCTATTAGTACCAGAAGAAAAAAACCTTAAGCGTGTCGAACTGATATCATTTGGACATGTTTCATCTTCAATCACAAATATATTCTTCTGAAAAATGAGAAAAATGAAAGAAATATTGTATTTTTCACTAGAATTTTTCCTATCTGCTAAAAAGCTAATTGCTTACGAAATTTTTTTAAAACATAAATACTACCTGATATGTATGGAGTACATCGGCAAGATAGATGGCGCTAATAGGATCAGTGTTTGCTCGCATCACCACAACCACACCAAAATCTCGGACAACTTCTTCGACCTTAATTTTGAAAGTTTAAACTTATTAAAATTTAACTTATTCTAAATTATTGCTCGTTTATTGCTCAGGAAAAGGAAAATAAAGAGAGATATTGTATTTTAAAAAGAAAAAAAAAAACATAACAAACGTTGTTGGCATTAAAAATTGGAGAAAGAGGTAAACCTGCTTGGTATTCCATAACATAACATCGGAAACGGCCAACTTTGTAAAACTTTCGATAACATCACCGCCACAAAGCAGTAGTAATTGCACTTTGCAGTTTTCACTTTTATATTTACAATTAAGTACTTCTTTGAAATGATGCAAAACATGAATTGTCCTTATCCATTCACCCTGCGAACACTCCCATCCATCCGCTCTATAATAAAAGTTTGAAAATTTTTCAAAAGTTGCAAATTCTTTTTCAAATCAAATTTCATGCATTTTTATTGTACTGTAGAAATGAGTTGAAAGTTTTTATGTAAATTATATAAATTAATTCGATCCTAGGGGTCATTTTTTTAAGGTAATAAATGAAAGTTACACACCTGATCCAGGATGATGATTTGGTAGCCAACTCTACCATTTTCAGCCTATGCTTAGCTGGTACCATATCGGGTCGACCAAGATTATCCGCTACGGGACTCATAATACCTTCAACGACCTCCCAACCATGTATTTTTTTGAGGTAGTCCCGTGCACGTTCTGTAGCACTTTTTTTGAAGAATTTTTTATAAATATCAAAAAGATTTCTCAACAATTTTAATAGAGTGAAATTTTTAACTTATTCGTACAATAAAATGAAATTTGCTTCCTTTTCCCCACTTTACTCCTTCCTAAAAAAGGAAAAATTGTTATTTAATTTTTAAAGGAAACTGCGAAGAAGAATGTTAATAAAAATTGAGTGAACTATTTACCAATCAAATAAGTTCATCATTTTCCAATAAAACCAGCAAATAAAATACGTTTAAAAAATATTTTAAATATAAACAGTTAAATAAAGCTTTAGATCAACTAATGTATAATTACTAAATGCACTAATTGCGCTTTCTCGCAGTGGTACACAAAATTAATGTTCCGAGTGATATGGATTTTAAAAGATATCATTTAATCATGTTAAAAAAAATCAGACCTTGAATTTTAGTCTAAACCATTTGCTAGTTGCATTCCAAATAACTTCCACAAGTCAAAATTTCCACACGATTAAATGATACCTTTTAGCAAAATAAAATGCTTACCAAACATTCGAAGGTGCATATAAGTTGGTGGATTAAATGTGCCACATGAAAGCAACGCTACTTTCCTGAAAGTTACTTGCGACGTGTTAACGTCTGAACTCTTTTCCATCAAATGCCCCAAACATCACTTCATTGCTGCGAATCACATTCTTTTCTTTTGTAGTGAAAAATTCTATGTTGACTTAATCAACTTAGCAGTCACCTCTATATGGCTTTCTTCAGTAATCGTCTTCTACAAAAAGTTGAAGAATTCATTTCAATATAAGCGTATGAATGCATATGTTGCCGTAATTTTGTGGAACGATCAGTGTCTAAAATAGAATCGCTTTGTAAAACAGAATTTGCTACTTTGCAACGGAAGTATCAGTTCCTTTTTGAAAACATTTCCAGAAATAAGAAAACGGAACTAACTGAAAAAATTAAGGAAAAAGCTATTCTAAATTCAGAATTTTTATATGTCTGTAAAAGATGAGAAACAAAGGAACTCCAAAAATGCACATATAATTTTGTGTATAAATTTCAATTAAATTTTAAAAATACGAAGGCATTGCTAATTTCTCAGATGAATTAAAAAATGGACGCAACGCGAATTTATACTAAAGACGAGACTCTTAAAATATTTTGTAAAATAATATATTTCAAAAATCATCCTTTTTCAAGTAAGGATAGATAAATTAACTAAGAAATTTAAAAAACTCAAACGATTGTATTTTTAAAGCTACAAATAGTGCCAGGAAGTATTATTTTCATATAGAATGACAAATAAAGTGAAACAATTGAATTCCTAGCAAACAAGTTTGTTGTATTCCAATTTCTTTAAATTTGATAAATTTCAAAAGTTTTCAAAAGTATGATATTTTTAAAATTAATTTCTAAATAGAAATACGAGGTTTTTTGAAAAACGAAAATAAAAATCTCAGTCTTGTAATTTTTTTCAAAAAAATTTAAATTTCTTTAATTTCTTTAAAATCAATTTCTGTGCAATCTGAGATAATAGTAAACATGTTTGACATTCACTTTCAGTGCTTCCCTCATTCAGTAAGAAGGACATCTTACTGAAAAGTTGTTTGTATATGTTACATTTCAGTGAATTGTTCGACACATCAGTAATTAGCAAAAATACTATGAGAGAAATTATTCTAATATCAAGCTAATAAATAAAGTGATTTCAAGGAAATATTAGATTCGACACTGATCTTTTCATAGAGCTAAACAACAAACAACGCATTATTTCAAAAAAGAAAACAAAGAAATCGTCAGCTACGTTAAAGATTCTAAAATTTTGTAAATCAATAAGCAGAGTAAAAATTATTGATCCAATAAGAGCGAGCTGCATGTGATTTTTGCTATCGCAAATTTTTCCCTTTGAATAGCAATTTCAAACAAAATGAATTTCAATACTTTGAAAAAAAAATCATATTCAACAAATATACTGTTAAAAAACCTCCGGCAACGATAGATTGGAAAAAGGTGAGTGAGAAATAAAAATATTCATTTTATTTTACTTAACAGACAATGTTTTAGCAGTAAATAAAAGTGATAGAAAGAAAAGAAAGCATAAAAATCGAACATCAATTTCGTTTTTTTTTCGCTTTCGAAATGCTCGAAGTTTTGTTTGAACATTTGTTGAGAAAAAGCAAATTGATGAATTGTAAAATTTTCAGAGTTTCATCCAACTGTCAACAATTTTTAACAATACATTTCCACACCTCCACAAATAACTGCAAAAAAGTGCCAAAGAAGAAAAAGGAAGAAAATGGTCTGTGCCTTCAATCCTAAGACTCGTCCCATTTATTGAAGTTGAACGACTGCTACTGGAATTACTTGCCAAGAATCTCTCTATTTGGAAAACGTGAAGGAACAAATATGCATTTTGCAACTTTATCCTGCCCTTTCAGCCATTAATTTCCATCAAAAAGCTTCGGTCATTACTCACGTCAATGACCATATTGAATGATGGACTTTCTGGACATTCGATGTCAAGCGAAGTAATAAGTCAGGAAATTTTAAGTAAGTAGCGCAAAATGCAATTGGAAGAAGAACAATGCAGCGGGTTACAACGTGGAAGAGACGACGTCTGGAGGGAACATTCTTTGTCGAAGAACTCGAAGATTGAAGAAAAAACTGACCGCAAGCTGACCTGTAGAAAGGAAATCAGTGAGTTCGAAGGAAATGAAATGACGGAGAAAGAATGTGAAGGCGTGAGGGCTCTTTAAAATTCAATTAATATATCGCGAAAGTCGCGAAATTTCAAGAATATTATAACTGG